TATGGAGATACCAGCTTACACACAAAAACTTAACCACAGGGACGCCGACGCTGACAAATGTGTGACTGCATTAGCTCGATTATTCTGCAAATAGTCGAGCTAAAAATGATCAATTTTACATATAGTTAAATCCTTTGTATGCTAAATTTACTGAATAAACAAGTCCTGCTTTCAATAAGAATTTTGACTATTTCTAATTTATACTGTATGATTTTATTGGTGGAAGAAGACCTCAGCTAAGGTGCCTTCTTAAGCATATTGTGCACAATCACGACCTGAAACTTGAGTAAAGCAACCACTCTTCCATTAACTACATGGAAAGCTTATATGAAATAAGCCACAGGGGCAAGTGATTTGAAGTCATTAATATTAAACAATTGTCAAAGGTGGACCCACTACTGGATTTTCATCTGAAAGTATTCAACTGCAATAGCGAATTTGAAATTCATATCATGTGTTGTGTCAATAGGCCACTTTTAAACATTTTTCTCCCTCTAAATTTCCTTGCTCTGACATGATATAAACCATAAAAGAGTTCCATTCAATTCTATATTCATTAATAAATATAAAGATAAACAAGAGGGCCATAATGGCCCTGAAATTGCTCACCTGTATATAGGCCCCCTGGGGCGGGGCCAATTTTAACTCAGAGGCTTTTATTTGAACAAACTTGGAAGACACCCATTTGAAGATGTTTCATGATTAAAAATTAAGCTCTAGCTCTAAGAAGATTTTTTTAAGTTTTTATTTGTTTGGGTCGTCAGACCAAACAAATAATGGTAGCGAAATTTCAGACCCTGATGCTGTTAATTGCAAATTGCCGGAAGTGGTCGCTTTTTTTGAAGCGGTTACTTCCCTTTATATGTACACTAACGCCGAAACATTCAGGGGAGATCACTGCGTAAAGATTGTCAAATGACAGGCATATTAATTTTCAAGCAAAACAGTTCCGGAATGGTCGAAGATTTCTAATATTGTTTTATTCTATATAGATATACATGCTTATAGTAAGCTCAATGATGTTTAGCGTCAAAATAATATGAGTTACAAACCCTAATTAAGAATAATATGGTTTTCTTAAGGCCGTTGTCATGTAACTTCACCATGGCCAAGGGGCTTGCACGCTCGCTTAGGAATTGAGAGGTCTAGAGTTCAAATCCCAGTTGAGGCAACTCCTTTTCTTTTTCTTTTTTTTTTTTAAACCAAATAAACATTGTTTTCAATATCAGTGTTGCAATCAGTCGTATAGTCAATTTACTACAGTTAAAACACTGGAAAGCATTGGTGGCACTATACAAAAACAAACTGGTTTATAATCTCATAACTTCACCTTTCCGACATTCGGAGACACAAACAAATTCAGCGCCTTCTGTGCTTTGATTACTATACACATATAGAGAAAAACAAAGACCCTCTTCCCCCTCTGGGCGGAGCCAATTTTGTCCCAAGGGCTTTTATTTGAACAAACTTGGTAGACACTCACTAGAAGATAATTCATGCTTAATATCTAAACTCTAGCTCTTTGGGGTTTTTAACAGAAGATTTTTTAAATTTTTACTATATACATATAAGGAAAATCAATGATCCCCGGGGCGGGCTAATTTTAATCCCAGGGCCCTTATTTGAACAAAAATGGTAGACACCCATTAGAAGATAATTCATGCTTAATATCTAAACTCTATCTCTTTGGTGTTTTTAACAGAAGATTTTTTAAGTTTTAACTAGATACATAAAGGGGAAAACAATGAACCCCTGGGGTGGGGCCAATTTTGACCCCAGGGCTTTTATTTTAACAAACTTGGTAGACATCCACAAGAAGATGTTTCATGCTTAAAAGCTAAGCTCTAACTATATGGGTTTTTTAAAAAGAAGATTTTTTAAGTTTTCACTTTATACAAATAAGAAAAATCAATGACCCCACCCCCAACCCCAAGAGTGGGGCCAATTTTGACCCCAGGGCATTTATTTGAACAAACTTGGTAGACACTGACTAGATGATGTTTCATGCCAAATATTTAAGCGCTAGCTCTTTCGGTTTTCTAAAAGAAGATATTTTAAGTTTTTTCTCTTGCCTGCCATGGCAACCAGAGTTCTGCTTGGAATTACATTCTTTGAACAATTTTTAAAGTTGATTATCAAAGGAACATTCCTCTGAAGTTTTGATGAAATTGGCTAAGCAGTTCATGAGGAGATGTCGTTTTAAGTAAAAGTTTACGGACAAACGGATGACAGATGGACGGCGACAGACGCCGGAAGAAAATCGATCACAAAAGCTTACCATGTCACTTTGTGACAGGTGAGCTAAAAACTGGGGTGGCCATGGCTAAGTGATTTTGGTTGTTCACCTTCAAACTAATTGCCCTCTAATCCATTGATGAGGGCATACAATATATTACCAGATTTTTACAATATTAGTAACTATGATAGACAATCAAAAACTTATGTAAAGACAAGGGGTAAGGAGTTACTTCCCCTCCTTTACTAATGCAGTCATTAGGTAATAAAAACACATGAACCAGTGCCTTGTATTTCCATGGTACTTAAATGTTTAACATACACAACAAAAGTTAGAAGACTAAAATTCTTGAATATGAATATTGTAGGGAAGACATGTCAAATATGTCAAAGTTCATTCCATTTAATGTTTACATTCGGCAATAATCTACACAATATGGCGGCAAACACATATCTGCTGTCTAGTAAGTTGTTTACCCATATTTCTTTAACAGTTTCAAAAGCAAAAAACAGTATTTTTACGTATGTCTATAGTCTCTATACCTAGCCAGGTTTGCAGGTGGGGGTTTCCTCTATTTATCAAATATTTCAACAGTGGTTTAACAAAGACAATTGTCTTAATAGGTTTGAAAACTAAAAGTTAAATTGTGAAATGATTTATTTTACACTTTATCTCAGTCGTAAATAGAATACAATAAGAAAGTGAAAATAAAACTCAGGGCAGGTGTATGAAGTCTAGAAGAAACTTGAGACTGTTTATCCCAAATACCTTTGAATGACAAGTAACATAAGGAAATATTAAGGTTAACAGAATAATAATATCTGTCATATGTTGCTGTTCGGATCGGAATGTCCAACCTAAGGGGACCTGCCCATGGGCAATGTCACAAGGGAGGGATATTCCAATCTTTACCTAATAACAAAACAATTATCCATTGAAATTTATGTAATTACACCCATAACTATTTTCTTACAACAGCGTATGAAATTACAACTCCATTCATAACGGTAAAATTAAGTTATCCTAAGCATGCCATTGTATAACATGCGACTCATTTGGCACCTGCCATGCCAGATTAAATTTCCGGCATTGGTAAAACTAATGGAAATACCAGTCTGATATGCAAGAAAGTAAATTCTGTACTTAGGTAAGTTAAATAATAAACAATATTTCATCAATATAATAGACTATCTTACATACAAACAAATTTGAAAACAATACAAGGTTATGTAGTCTTTTATTAATTTATTTTGTTGGGTCACACCAACATGACTTAATTAACATGGTAAATATCTGAGGAAGTCATAAAAAGTATTATCCATTTCAAAACCTTTAATTCAATCGTTTTTGTGAAGAAAAAAATGCATGAGGTATCATGCGGACAGCATGTTTAACATCTTTTTCATGCTTAGCATTGGAGATGCGTTGCTTCAAAAAGAGGGATTTTTATTAAACTAGAAATGTGTCCATAGGACACGGGTGCCCCCACCGCGCCACTGTTCTGTCAATCTTTTTACTAAGTCAAGGGAAATAACTCTACAAATACTGGATAAATCCACAAGCGAAACCCCAGGTGCAAATCTAAATATGCTGAGCAACCTGCCCATAAGGTTTAATGACTCTTTGTCAAATCCTTTTTGAGTAACTTGTGACACAAATTGAAAACTGCAAAAAATTTCTAAGTCAAGGGCAATAACTCTAAAAATACTAAATAAATCCAGACGAAAATACCTGGTGCACAACTGCACATGCTGATCAATATCCCTGTGATGTTTCATGACTCTAGGTCAAATACTTTTTGAGTTACGTGCTACACAAGTTGAAAATTGCAAAATTTTACAAAGTCAAGGGCAATAACTCTGATCCAGACTAAAATACCCAGGTGCACAACTACACATGCTGATCAACATTCCTGTAAAGTTTCATGACTCTAGGTCAAATACATTTTGAGTTACGTGCGACACAAGTTGAAAATTGCAAAATTTTACAAAGTCAAGGGCAATAACTCTGAAAATACTAAAAATATCCAGACGAAAATACCCAGCTGCACAACTACACATGCTGATCAACATTCCTGTAAAGTTTCATGACTCTAGGTGAAATACTTTTTGAGTTACATGCGACACAAGTTGAAAATTGCAAAATATCACTAAGTCAAGGGCAATAACTCTGAAAATACTAAAAATATCCAGACGAAAATACCCAGGTGCAGAACTACACATGCTGATCAACATTCCTGTAACGTTTCATGACTCTAGGTCAAATACTTTTTGAGTTACGTGCGACACAAAAGTGAACGGACGGACGGACGAAAGGACGGAAGTTCTCACAGGACAGTAATTATGTGGCTACTCTATTATTCTCTCTATTGTTCTTTTTAGCCACACAAAAGAAAATGGCCACATAAAAGCATTACGGAATGAATGACATCAAAGAGAAAGAACAGTTACCTATTGTCCCTCTAGCCACATAATTACTCTCCTGTGAGTGCGGACGGACGGACAGACGGATGGACGGACAAGGGTAAATCTAAATGCCCGCCACTAAAGTGGGGGCACAAAAAAATATCATTATGGTTAGAAATAAATAAATAAATTTTAATTTCCTTCTTGAATTCTACCATTATAGGAGCATACCGTATTACATATGCTAAACAAACACAGAAATAGTTATTCATCTATACAATTTTAAATTTTTAGCTTTACGTTGCACCAACACTGTATGGGTCATATGGCATTTTTCCAGCTTAACTAGTGGATGAGTAGAACCTCTGACGTTCAATAAACTAGCTGGATAGCTTCCTGGCATAAAAGAATACAAAGTCCCTGCCAGAATTCGAACCCACAGGGTGAGTGGCAAGTGCTTTGCAGTCAATGACCTTAAACACTCCATCTAAGACACCCTCATCTATAGAATACACTTTGTTTATATTAGTCTGAGAAATGCATTAAATTCCGCCACCGCTGTTTTTGCCGTTTCCTTACAAAACTCCTCATCGTCCTCCACAATGATGTCATACAACGAAACATAATTCGGTTTTGTGGGATCGTACTGATTCTTTCCTAATTTCACCAGGAATCGGTGCCGAGTGTCGAGAGTGTAACGAAGAGTGATCAACGATTTTCCGAACTTTACGATTAAGTCTTGTGGTATCTCCATCACATCGTGGATGTAATTGTAAATTTGTTCAACACGATGAAAATCTGTAAAACACCGCAAATAATTTATCACCATCACAAAAAGAATATTTTCTTTTCATTTGTTTTTGAGGTGTATATTTGCCTATTTTCTTCTAAAATATAGCTTTTTTTTACTTTAACAATATCATTTGAAGCATTAAAGTGCATTTCATCCTACGGAAAACTTAAACATGAAAATGTGTTTCAAATATATATACGACCAACATTACATCTAAGTAAAATATTTTTCAATAGTGTTTGAATTATATTATATAAGCTGGAAGTGCAAAAACTAGTGCAATTTAATTTGTTTTTGAGAAACTTGCAAAAAAACTACTGCTTCATACTAAAAAGGCCTTTGCACATATGGGAAAAACAGCATTGAGAAAATAAAAGATGTAGCTGGAATTATTAAAAACAATGATGGGATGCAGGGCATTTTTTGTCAAAATTGTGAAGGGGCCAGGGCCTGTTCATTTTGTGAAAAAAGGGCGACATGTCATAATATTGTGAAGAAAAACAAATGACATATTACTTGGCATTTCGCGACATATTGAAACCGGAAACGGTTGATTATAATTTCTGACCCGTGTAAAAAATCTGCATTAACCCAGTTAACATGCTCAAAAACCATTTAACTTAATTAAAACTATTTGTGTTATTGCAATTGGCGTAAATCAAGTTTTACCGGCAGGTAAACAATGTATTACTAAGACAAAGTCCCAATATTTTGTGAAATTTCACTTGAAATGTGATTTTTTTCTGCCGCTTTGTGAAAACTAGAACTCCGCGAGTCGGATGTGTCGCCTTGTGAACAATATAGTTTAAGAGAAATGGCAAAGACAAAAATGAAATTTGAAAATCAACAAAGGGCAATAACTCAAAAAATAAGAAATGCAGATCAGCAGTTTCTGTGCACTGCACTTCTTATCAATAAGATCTATCATCCTATTAAGTTTCAAGTCTAAAGCTTTTATAATTTATGAGAAATGGCCTGGACAAAAATAAAGTATGAAAATTAAAAAAGGGCAATAACTCAAAAAATAAGAAATGCAGAGTACCAGTTCTTGGGCACTGCACTTCTTCTTAAAGTGACATTATTCCCATCCAAAGGTATATAGTGAGTGAACGGGTGAAGATCAAAATAAGTTTTCATATTGCCATAAATCCTTTCAATTTAATATTTAAGTTCACATAAACAATAATTTACACACAGATCCATCAGAATTTACCTACAAGCTTAGTTTATAAAAAGAGTGGGGCAGTCTTTTTGAATTTTAGGCAGATTTATAATTTTCTCCTAAACATTTTCTAATAACAACTGTTGGCCAAACACCATTTTGACAGTCAATCTTTTGAAATATAAAGTCAATTCAGCTCAACTTGACTATGAAAATTTGAGCATAATGTCACTTTAATGAGATCTATCATCCTATGAAGTTTCATGTCCATAGCTTTTATACTTTAGGAGAAAAGGCCTGGACAAAAATAAAGTATGAAAATTAACAAATGGCAATAACTCAAAAAATAAGAAATGCAAAGTACCAGTTCTTGTGCACTGCACTTCTTCTTAATGAGATCTATCATCCTATGAAGTTTCAAGTCCATAGCTTTTATACTTTAGAAGAAATGGCCTGGACAAAAATAAAGTATGAAAATTAACAAAGGGCAATAACTCAAAAAATAAGAAATGCAGAGTACCAGTTCTTGTGGACTGCACTTCTTCTTAATGAGATCTATCATCCTATGAAGTTTCAAGTCCATAGATTTTATACTTAAGGAGAAATGGCCCGGACAAAAATAAAGTATGAAAATAAACAAAGGGCAATAACTCAAAAAATAAGAAGTACAGAGTACCGGTTCTTGTGCACTGCACTTCGGGTCATTATGAGAAGCATGCATACCAAGTTTGAAGTCAATCCGACTTATAATGACTGACTTATGCTCTAGACAAGCTTTAGGGGACGCCGACGCTGAAAAACCGACAACGACGCCGACAACGACGCCGTCACCGCCGACAAAAGTAACCCCTATATGTCGCCTTTTTCAAGGCCACACAAAAAGTGCAATTTTGAATTGTGAAGGGGCCTTATATCGGCCCCTGTTATAGAAGGAAAAAATGCCCTGGGATGTTAGTGGTGGCATGACGAGTGGTTAATGCGCATGATCAGTAATCTTATGGTTGCTAGCTGCATGGATTCAAACCCCATCAGGAGCAAGCTAGCAAGAAACTTTACACTCATTACTCAGTACTGGTTGGTTTAAGGAATGGATTTGAGAGTGTGTCTATATACATAATCAAACTAACAAATAAATTCTGTATAAACCAAATATGGGATCCATCATACCATCATTCAAATGATTAAAGTGATATAAAGATACCTTTCAAAACAAGGCTATATCTCTGAACACTTGCCTTATAGTGTCAGCTGGACCTTGAGATGGCACAGTCAGACCTTCAAGGTCACTTTTCAAATATCAAATTGATACAGCTTTCAAATTTGACATTCAAGTTTAAGCTCTAATCTACTGCAGAAGATGGCGTACAGTACTAGACAAGGATTATCAACTTAAGAAACACTAAGCCATACAGGAAAAGATGTACCTTTCAAAGTTAAGTTCTATTTATAGTTCAGCCGGCTATAAGGAGAATTGAACAATTCTAGATATCTGAGTATGGCATTGGCCTAAAATTATTTCAAATCACTTTATTGGGAATTTGCACAATGATAAAGGAAAGAAGTTTTCAATCTAATAATATCTTTATTATTAGCTCAAATCGTCATCATGTTCGATGGAAATGAACAATTTCAGCTATTTTTGTACAGTAGCACTCAAAGATCACTTCTTGCTTAATTTGTGTGACAGATTTTCCAGAATAACAGACATTTAACATGACCAATGGATACAAAAATATATACACAACAGAAACAAAGAATGAAATGTAAAAACTCCGGCAAAATATAAGAAAACCCGATGCAATGTGAAAAATTAAAACATTCTTATACTTAGCTTACTTCTGAGATATACTTCTGGACATGACAATAACAGTGTCTTCAGTTCATTTTCTGTAAACTCGAGAGATTTCTTTAGAAAAAACTTGTTTTCCTGAAAGAGAAATAGGTAAAAATAAATATACATTGTGTATTAATTAAAATATCTATACAGTTTGCCCTAATTTTTAATATGTGCTGTTTATTTTATCATTTTGAGCTTGAAATCTCTCTTTTTAATCAATTAATAAAATACAGCTCTGAAGTTCCACTAGCATTAAAGGGACCAACCAGTCTGTCAACAAACAATGAACAGACTGACGCCAAAGGCATTTATTCTTTGGTAATGACTGGGAGGTCTGGAGTAGTGGGATTAAAGTACTATTTCATATAGATCATAATAATAACCTTTATGAATAGGAAGTGAATCTTCAGAATGAAATATTATAGTACATTTATGAACACATTTTAAAGTAAAAAAAGTACTGAAAAAGTCAGCAGTATGGAACTTGCAAAAATACTGACTTTGTAAAATCTTATAGTGTATATTGTGCTAATTTCCCCTTTTTAAAAGAACTGAGCATCATTTCCAAAAAAAAACAAATTGGAAACCAACTTTTTACCTTGATGACAACCGGTTTTGCTATGATTAGCTTGGACATATCACTCGCTATTTTCCTTACTTCAGCTCCTGAAAAAATAGAGAATGAATTAATTAATCATCTTTTACATGACTTGTAATCATATTACATCAGTAAACCACCTTACCAGCTGCCACATCTAAGCAGTACATTTCCTTTACAGATGCAAACACGAAAATGAAGCAAGATGCCATAAAGACAACAATGTAGTTTATGTACATACAAAATATTTTTGCTAAGCTGGGCATTTAAGAACTAAAAAATTTTCAAAAGTCTTTCCTATATATACCTTTGTTACAAGCATGACTCTCCTGACAAAGTTGTTCAAGACCAATGGATCATGATTTAGTTGGCAACTTTTCTGGAAGATCACCAGGAAATACTTTCAAAAACTTAAATTTCCATCCCTGTAGGTTCAGAGAAATTTCAAGTAGAACTTAATAAATAACCCTCAGCCTGGTACCAATTCAGACTCAGTGGCATTATTTATAAAGATTATAGAGGGTCACTATGTAATATATATTACATAATAAATATATATCACAAAATAAATATATTATCATCCTAAAATGAGTAAATTTTATTTCAAACAAGCAGTTCTTCTCGACTTGACATTTTCATTTTCATGACAACAAGTTTAGACAGGGCCCACATTTAAAATTTTTCAGCTCCATTCCCATGCCCAATAAGCATACATTTGCCCCCTATTTTTTTTTTTTAATCCCCCCCCCTTTCCAATTTTACCGTAAGCACAAGACACTTAACAATATCATATTGAAATGAATTTGTTTTTTGCAGAATAAAATATGAAATACTAATATTAAGTATTGAGGTCGATAGACAAAGTTCCCTATTTTATTCAAACAACGCTAAAGTCCCCAAGCTGAGGGCCCCAGCCACAGTCCCCTATAAGATAATTAGGGCTGTGTTCTGCAAAAACATTTTTTACCAAACAATCTAAAAATATGATGAAAAGTACCATAAACAAGAGCTGTTCATAAGACAGCACACGCGACTATTCTCAGTGCTTGACAGTAAGAAAAGGGACATACATGTAACTCTGTCATAAGGTCACTCAGAGGGACCTGTGTTCATCATATTAGAGATAATCACAGAGAACAAGTGATTGTAGTTTCAGCAAATCCCCTCCAGCAGTTTCGGAGATACCAACTGACACTCAAAATCCTAAGTGTGACGCCAACGTCTGAAGACTAACAATTAGCTCTTCCTCTTTCTTTTATAAAACTGTTAATGAAACAAATCATTTTGTATAACGAGCGGGTTTACTCATAGATATTGATATTACTTCATATGGTTTGTACTGGTTTATTCAAAGAAGAAAACTTAATTGAGTTGCAAGAATGTCAAGCATACTTACACTGTACAGTACAGATATCGAGGAATATGCAAATTTCTGCGTGTATCGAGTAATCTCAAAAAGCGTGACTCCGAGTGGATTATAAATTTCTCGGGTGAAAAAGAGTGACTCCGAGACAAAAGCGAGTGACAATTTTGTCCGCGGGACTCCGTGAATCTCCGAGTCAAAAAGAGTGACTCCGAGAAAATAAGACTGATTTGGTACACGTATGCTTTATTTATTTATTAATTAATATAATGCTCTACCTCTAAAATAAAATCCTTCATCGCATGTATTATTCATTCAAAATAACAATGTTGTCGAAAATTCTTCGTTGATGTAAAGTATCACAAGTGAAAACGAAAGTAGACACACTTGATTCATTAATTAATTAAAGGAAAGAATAACCGATGATTTCCCGCAATTCCCGTAACGCGCAGTGTCAAAAACCTATTGAATTTAGTATTCTAAAATAAGAAAATATAGATGAGCTTCTTTTTTGCATTGTTTATACAAATTTATAATTATTATGTAAGCAAAAAAAGAAGAAGAAAAAAAAGGAAATACATGGCAAAACAACCACGTGCTTAGGTCGATTCATTCCATGGACATACTATCGTAAGGGAAATTATACTTTGTACCAGAACTGAATAAAAAAAACAACATTTTCTTTTAGACAGTTTACAAAGTATTCTTCAGTGAAATGCATCTGCCTTGGAAAGTAAACTTCTGAAAAAGGTAATTTTATACTTTTAAGTCAGGCTTTTAGATAAATTTGTACCAGTTACATAAATGATACCAAACTGATTTCCATGTGAAGTACATGTACGTCTCCTTTTAATTGTTGGTTGATAAAAAATCCGTGAAATACGAGATATAATACATCATTCCATACAATGCACTAGCCAAAACAGCGACACCCTATGTCGGCATGTACAGTCCCGCTTTTAACATTAATGTTTAAATTTAATTTACTATTGCTTTCAGAACAATATAGATCAGAGTTAAGAAGTTCGATCTGCTAGGCAATTCTACCGATGTTGGCAGCACAAGAAAGGACAACATTAAGGAATTAATTTATGAAATTCTACCGATGTTTGCAGGGGGAAAACAACAGGCGCTGCGTCGTCTCAAAAATAAAACCATGAATTATAAAACAAGAACACTGAGATTGGCAGTGATTTTTTAAAGGCATGGCGGTCTTTTTCAATCCACATACGTACATGTACAATGCATACCCGCTTGCTGTGACGATCAAATATGTTCATATGCTATTGTAAAAATATTGTTTTATCGTCTATGAACAGTACATGTACGTGAAATCGGAAGTAGTTTAATCTTTGTCAAAACTGTTTTTTATTTTTATAAAATGACATGATAGATGATGTACAAACCATAAACAAATAAAACAAGAAGACAAATAAAATGATAATTTTATTCTTTGCTGTTTTTATTTTTTGTCAATCTTTGTAATGCTGATTACAGGTGAATGAATTACGGGAGCAGTGCGCTAGGTAAGTTGAACGGCCTCTGTCAGCTTGTTAACACCTCTATAACTCTTGAATTCCTCCATAATGCCTGAAATAAAAAACAAAAATCTTAATTTATTAATGATCATCACAAGACAATTTACTTTTGATTCCAATATCAACATACATCTACATACGACTTTGATAACAGAATGAGACCGACAGATTTTCGGAGATATTCTTGGAATAAAATTACAACAATATATTACTAATTTTTATGCAGCTTTATTTAGAAACGATTAAGTTAATGTTAATTCTCAAAAATTATATATAAATCAAGTGTCTTCTAATTAAAACGGCGGACGTGGCAGGTTGACACGTAACTAAAATACATGTAAACAATGGATTATGAAGAAACGTACATGCACATCATGACAATTTTTAAAACTATACAAACCAATATAAAAGTGGGGAAAGTCAATTTTTTTGATGTGCACATGTTATCAATGATTAAAATATTATGAAGATCGAAACTCATTTTCCACATTGAAAAAAGAAAACACAACACAATATTTGGCACCTGAAATAAATTAGAACGGCACGTTATTGGTATTTGATGCATTTAGAAACATTTAAGATTAAGAAGTTTATATAATTAATTCATTTCTTAAAGAAGTATAAAAAAAAGTTGGGCCGTTATTATATGGATTTTTTAAATCTTTTTTGTTTTTGATAGAATTTCGGGTTCCTGTGGTTATTGCTACTGACCTAATTAATCGGGATAAAAATAAACTTGAGAACTGATGATGTTACGGTAGTGATTTTTTCTAATCAAATGTACCTTTCAACTGTTTCAGGGTAAATTGAAAACAACAACCATAAAAATCATCTTTATTTTCGAATGGTAATCTAAAGAATTAAATTAAATATAAAATGAGATTGCACTTGCATTTATTTACACCAGCTAGACACCGACACGGAGTTACGCGGTAATTCTCTCTCGGAGTCACGCGCTTTTATTTTCGTCTCGGAGTCACTCTCATCACACGTTTCTCACGCGGAGTCACTCGTTTTTATGGACAAATACTCTTGCGGAGTTGCAAGTGTTTTCCTCGATCCTCGGAGGATTTTGCATATTCCTCGTTATCTGTACTGTACATGTAAATTTATTTAAAACAAAGTCAATCAAACCTGTAAGTTGAAATTCACGCTGCAAGAATCCTAACTTAGCATCTATCTTATCCATAGGTATTAACAAGAATCTTGGGTCACAGTCAATCATTTTTATTACTTGTGACTTGGAGAACTTCTTTGACCGGAGGTAGTTTACACGAACCTGCAGAGATAAAGAACAAAAGAATACAGTCGACTCCACTTATAACAAACACACTTATAACTAATTATCGTTTATAGCGAACTAAATCTGACATCCTTCTCTATTCTATATTAAATCACATCGCTTAACACGTACTCGCTTATAACGAATTTTCAGCTATAACGAACCATTTTTTCAAACCCCAAATACCGGAAAACATCTAAATTTACTCGGTTATTACAAACTGTAATAATTGAAATATCGGGATGCGCTCGATAAGGATCAGTACATGAATAACGCTTTCCGATAGTTATACAATCGAATGGTTGCACAGATTAGTTATTGCTTCAGGGAATAAAGATTTTGATAAAATGTTCTCACAACATAATTTAAATTAAATAACCGCTGAAGTAAAATACCAGTTACACCGGTAACCAGTGATAAGAATTGCTTTTTCACGGCAAATTTCCCAATCAAAACAAGTCAGCAAGTTGTTGCTACTTTGCTTTTAGCGAACTTCGGATATAACGAACAATATTTTAATGTCCCATTGAGTTCGTTATAACCGGAGTCAACTGTATTTACAAAAGAAATTATAAACAAATGGTTTAGTGTAGACCCATGACTTTTCTGTATTAATCATGAAGCACAGGGCACTTGGAACATTGTCTACATGTATTTCAGTCTCATATTTTCTTAAGTTATTTAAAAATTTTGGAGCTAAAATGTTATGAAGTTATGTACCTGATGTTAAATATAGGTGTCTCAATACAAATCATGACATGTCAAATTTTGAAATCAGATTTCCATTTTTTCAGTTCTCTCAAGCTAAATGTTAATTCATAATGAAGTAATTTATTGTTTAGCTAGCAAAAATTATACATATTTTTTTTTAAATTAATAGTTACTAATAGTTTAATACGTTAATAGTTAATACATTTATATTTTATATGTCTTTTTATCTTATTCTTACATTCTGTCTATTGAGTATTACCCCTTTATGCCACAGACTTTCTATCTTTAACCCATTACTTCATATACACGCCTTTTAACGCCTTTTTCACCCCCCCTTTTTTGTTGTCTCAAATGATGAAAAAATGCCTTATTTAGGCCCCAAACACTAGTTTTTGTTTGAGAAATGTTGTTAAAAAAGTGACCTCTTTTTCGGAGCGGCCCCCCAACCAAAAGATACATCAGGGGGTTGCCAGAAGGGGGATGTGCCCCCTTCTGTTTGGGGGGGGTTTGAAGGGGGGCGGAGTCCCCCTCATCGCCAAGAAAATTTTGGACTTGTGAGAGGCTGTAAATGACCCCAGATTGATCATAAGGTAACGTGTAACCAACGCTGAAAAGCATTTGACTCTATCTCAATCCATTGAGAAGTTGCAGCACTTTGAAATCAATTTTGATGGAAAAAATCAACGCAAAATAGTGATTTTTGGCAATTTTGAGATGTCCCCTCGTTGCCATGGTAACAGAAAATTTAAGCCTGAGCATGTTGTTGCAAGGGCAATGGTCCAGTCAACATTTGTGCCAAGTTTGATTAGTGTTGAAGCAGTTTTTATAGTATTATAGCAATTGGAACTTGTAACGGGAGACTTTTCAATGAAAACAGCCATTTTTCACAAAATGCTCATGAAGTAATGGGTTAAGGGAAAATTTCAAAATATATACTGATTGAAAAGCAAACAATGCAGACCATGATCAGGCGGCACAGATTTGTAGGCAGATCCTGGTCTGCACTTTTTACAGGGGTTGAATCAACAGACTCAATAAAACTTACTACATGTACTTACTAAGGGTGTAACGGTTTACCGGTATACCGATATATTGCAATATGAAAAAATAAATTTCAAACCGCGGTACGATTTTTGGAAAACCGGTATTTTATAAAAATCATAATTTTCAATTAATTGCCTTCTAATTTTGTACAAATTTCACATAAAATCTTTAATTGGCAAATTTTGTTGGCGCCAACGTAAGATAAAAGTATCCGACAACTAGTACACTTAAAAGTCAATAAGCGGCCGCATAATTTACATAAGCGGCCCAGACGTGAAAGGTTACACGCGACTTGTTTTGTTTATCTTATGCTTATATTAAGTTTCTGTTAAAAATATATACATATGATAATAATATATAAATGTTACTCCATCTTTACATCAAAACATATACATGACAATACGTATTGCAATATATTGCAATACGCTTCAGCAAAATGGCAATATATTGCAATACGGTTTTTGCTGTATTGTTACACCCCTAGTACTTACATGTAAATTATGTACATCATGCTGAAAAATCCATGGACACTCTGTAAACACATCACCAATCTTCTCTGCTGGTATTCCAGTATCTTTTAGAAACAGGATGTATGGAACAACATCTTTTTCAAAATTCATATTGAGAACATGGTCAATCATTCCCTTTTTCTGAACAACCCACAAACTCACACCCAAATCTACCATCTTCTTTAAGACCTTTGTATCATTCACTATAGGTGCTACATTTTTTAACTGTGGAAATGTCACTTTCTGAACATTACTGACCTTCAGATTGCCTTTCTCGGCTTGTTCTAAATTATATTTCAGTATAGATTCTTCAAATTCAGCACTTTCTCTCGTCAGAGTTCCACTTTCCTTTTCTACAAGTTCTCTAATGACTGACTTTGGTTTATAAATGTTTTTAGGATCAATCAATGACTTAGCTTGATAATTTTTGATCCTTTTCACCTTTTCTCTGCCTTTAATTGGCACCAAGACTACTTCGGATGTTTCAGCATCAGAATCAAACAATGCCTCTACTCTTTCTTCATCAGTATCAATTCCATACAGTTTTTCAATGTCAGTTGATTTGATCTTGTTTTTCTTATTCAAAATAAGTGACTTAGCAACATTGTCTTCCTTTTTACCATCAAATAACACTTCAACATTTTCATGAGTTACATCACAATCCTTTAAACCTTTATTCTCTACCACACTGTTACCATTTTTCACTGTGCATAACCAAATCCCTGTGGCATGGAAATTTTGCATGCATAAATAGTGCTCAAATACTCCCCTCTTCCTTCTTCTAATGATCTGTGGCTTACAGCTATTCAATGTTTGTATCTTTCTTACAGTAACTTGTAAAGAACTGAAGGACAGTCTGTTTTGTTTCTTCAAACAAGTTTTTACTGCCTGCCGCAGCATTTTTGAGTTTCTAACTAGAACTGTTCTCTTATATCAAGCCTGAAAAAAGTGAAACATTATTCTGCGATAATAATTAAGTTTCTTTAAAATTAATTTTGCATGCAAAACTTTAAACAAGATATTCATAAGACCAAAATTAAGTCAAAATCCACCAAAGAATTATGGAACTTGGAGAATGATCCCCTATTATTGCCTCAAATAAGTGTGTGAAGTTACATCATTAGAGGTTAATGAGATATGATGCTGCATGCAAAACTTGTGGTGCCACCATAAGTTTTGCATGCAGCATCATATCTCATTAATCAACTGATTAATCAATTGATCAATAACTGGTGGTACACACTAAACAGGTCTTAGCTTTGAAGTGAGTTGACATTTCATTTTGCAAGTTGAAAATTAAAAGCATGGACAAAATCTGGCTAAATTCAAATCTTGCCATTTCATTCTTCATATCATTTATCCTAAATCTTTAAAAAAATTATTCAACCATCGAACATCCACAAATTTATTACCCGAACACTACTCTACTTTTCAACAAAAATGAACATTTACAACAAATTAAAAGATATTTGCCGGTAAATTAACTGAATACAATAATTCATTGCAAAAATAAACATCATAATTAAATATTATTGTCACAAATAGCTATACTTTTTCACAGTATCATTTTTTTTCGAAAACATGAGTACCACAGGTTGTTGTTGTTTTTTTACTAAATTACTGACAACTATATATGATGGTCGTTGTCGTCTTGCAAAGGTCCGTTGTCGTATAGATTTATTCAGAGAAATGAACATAAACGCATACAATATTGTCACATATAACAACATGCATATAAAGCACACAAATATGTAGAAATTTAACAAAAATAATAATAATAAATAGTTACCCATTGGATATTGCCAATTAAGATAAAAGCGTATTTCAATTGAAATCAAATTACTGTAATATTAATTTAACACACTAACAGTTTTATAATAAATGAATTATAATAATCATGGAGCTAAATATAAGATATCTGTGTTATACTGAAAATGAAAAAATCTTTCCAACATTGTGCTGCAATCATGACACATTTTTTCGATATAATGACACCAATACATTGTACAAAAACTAAAATAAATTCCATATAAACTGATACTTTGATACATTATCAAATACCTCATCAACATGTAAAACATTATCACAAAGCTGCACATCAATTTCTACCTATCTATCTATACTGCAACACCATCTTTCGTGTATTATGTGCAGGTGCATATTAGTTTAGTAATATATAAACATATTAATTATTCTCTTTTTGTTATTTTCATTATTTTAGAAAATTTTAAGTAAAGCCTAATAAACATTTGAATTCAATGATATTGAATAGATAATATACATGTATCCGTGATGATCTGTACTTAAACATGTTTTTACATTATCACGAAAGAAAAGGTTTTTTTTTTAAATAACCAGAAATGAAATAAGCGTTGAAATGTTTTGGTTTTGTTTTAAAACACAACACTTGCCATGTGCTCCCCTCGATGTTAAATGAAATGGACCGTCAGAATTGAATCACAAGTTAATATATTGCGTTCATTGGCCGTGAAGTGTTGCATCTATTTACTCATTTTACAAAATTTAAATCTACCATTTTTCTTTTTGTAAAAAAATGTATTGGGCTTTCTATAGGTACATATTTTAACGAAATACGATAACTTTCAGTTTAAAATATGAATTTTTATCTTATATACATACGGAGGTATCAAAATACTAGTAGTTGAATATAACTTTTACGTATATGAGTATTTCTTATGACATCTATAGTACTTTTTTCAACTTGATTCTGTTTGGATATTAACACTGAACTGGTAAGAAACATTTATTTCGAGTTATCCTTCAGTCTATTTTGATTCTTTTACTCTTTCAAAAATGTCATTTTTAAAAATTAAGCCTTTATTTGGTTTTATGTGGGGAATCTACCTAGACAGATGGTTCAAATTTGGTGCCCGCTCGATCGTTTCATAAATAATACTATGAATTGCACCTGAGGTCGCATTTTTCTTGTTAGGAAACTTTCTAGATAAATAGCTATACCAAGGTGCCCGCTCAATCGTTTCAGAAATAATACTAGGGCACCCGATGTCGTATTCTTATTTGGAAAATTACGAGATAAATGGCTCTACCCAGGTTCCCGCTCGATCGTTCTTGAAATAATATTAAGAGGGTCACCCGTGGTCGCATTCTTGTCAGAAAACTTTCTCGATATATGGCTCAACCAATATGTCCGCTCTATCGTTCCTGTAATATACTAAGAGGAGCACCCAAGGTCGCATTCTTGTTACGAAAATTCCTAGATAAATAGCTCTACCAGCGTCCGCTCAATCGTTCTGAAATAAAACTGGGAGGGGCACCCGCGGTCGCGTTCTTGTTAGGAAATTGATCGTTCCTGAAATAAAGCTAGGAGATTGATCGTTCCTGAAATAAGCTAGGAAATTGATCGTTCCTGAAATAAAGCTAGGAGATTGATCGTTCCTGAAATAAAGCTAGCTAGGAGATTGACTGTTCCTGAAATAAAGCTAGGAGATTGATCGTTCCTGAAATAAAGCTAGGAGATTGACTGTTCCTGAAATAAAGCTAGGAGATTGATCGTTCCTGAAATAAAGCTAGGATATTGATCGTTCCTGAAATAAAGCTAGGTGATTGATCATTCCTGAAATAAAGCTAGGAGATTGATCGTTCCTGAAATAAAGCTAGGAGATTGACTGTTCCTGAAATAAAGCTAGGAGATTGACTGTTCTTGAAATAAAGCTAGGAGATTGACTGTTCCTGAAATAAAGCTAGGATATTGATCGTTCCTAAAATAAAGCTAGGAGATTGATCGTTCCTGAAATAAAGCTAGGAAATTGATCGTTCCTGAAATAAAGCTAGGAGATTGACTGTTCCTGAAATAAAGCTAGGAGATTGACTGTTCCTGAAATAAAGCTAGGGTATTGATCGTTCCTAAAATAAAGCTAGGAGATTGATCGTTCCTGAAATAAAGCTAGGAAGTTGATCGTTCCTGAAATAAAGCTAGGAGATTGATCGTTCCTGAAATAAAGCTAGGAAATTGATCGTTCCTGAAATAAAGCTAGAAAATTGATCGTTCCTGAAATAAAGCTAGGAAAATGATCGTTCCTGAAATAAAGCTAGGAAATTGATCGTTCCTGAAATAAAGCTAGGAAATTGATCGTTCCTGAAATAAAGCTAGGAGATTTATCGTTCCTGAAATAAAGCTAGGAAATTGATCGTTCCTGAAATAAAGCTAGGAGATTTATCGTTCCTGAAATAAAGCTAGGAAATTGATCGTTCCTGAAATAAAGCTAGGAGATTGATCGTTCCTGAAATATTGCTAGGAAGTTGATCGTTCCTGAAATAAAGCTAGGAAATTGATCGTTCCTGTAATAAAGCTAGGAGATTGATCGTTCCTGAAATAAGGCTAGGAGATTGAGCGTTCCTAAAGTAAAGCTAGGAGATTGATCGTTCCTGAAATAAAGCTAGGAAATTGATCGTTCCTGAAATAAAGCTAGGGACTCGAGGGGCACACGAGGTCTTCCTCCACCAGTATGCTAAAGCTGTAAAGTCGCCATATGCGATATGACTTAAACCTTACCCAAAAAGCTAACAGAAATGTCACCAGTATTTTATAGTAGGGGTAACGAGCCCTAGAATGTATAGTAACCGTGATTGTAAATGACTAATCTATTCAAAAAAATCCGTACGGAAGTATGTGACCGGATTTAAAAAGAGAATTCTGAGAATCGATACCAGCTTTATCTTTTTTGGCAGCAATCGAGTGATCGGCTAAATGTTCATTGATACATACATTCAACAAGGTACTTCGCCCCGTTGACTACTGTTATTTGTCATAATAATATTTCCGACAGAGTAATGATATATACCTAATAACTGAATCACACGAACGAGCATTCTTTATCGTTAATTAATTACACCAAATCATTCTCGAGTTTCCCGTGCAGCTCAGAATTTTTATAGAACAAAAAGGCGATCATTGTTAAAAACCCGAGGTCAAACACAAACCATGCGTGCACGAAAAATTTATTTATTTCTTTCGCGTGAAAAAGCTTGTTTGGAAAATATCAATTTACATTCGACGCAGGAGTTTTATAAAATCATTAATTGTACCTCTAGTGAATTGTACCTAAAATAATCTTTGAAAAGGGTGGGAAATACAGGGAAGTACTTATTATATAGTATGAACGTATGTTTATTTCTGACTTTAAAGCTACAATCTCATACACTGTGTTCATAGTATAGATATTTATTTATTATAGTTACTTATTTATAAAATGTTTAAAGTTGCAGTTATAGTTAAAAATAAATAAGAAAATATACTTTTTACATTTATCCGAAATTGCGGCAATGTATTTTTATTCACACAAATAATAAAATAACACAAGAAGCAGTCATATACCGTCAATGTCCCTACTTAACAGTATTTCACACATAAACATAAAAATATATATCAAAGGGCAATAACCAACAAAAGAAAATACAAAACCGAGCTATAAAAGCTATTGATTGATGAAGTTTCAACATTTTTGAGGTATAGCCTGGACAAAAATATATTTTAGAATTATGGCGTGAAGGGTTATCGTTCTTTTGCACTGCAATATCTATCCAATGGTATCTCAAATACTTATTTTGAGTGATGGTACTTGGAAATTATGCATGAAAAATAACAAAGGGGCAATAACTCAAAAATTACAATACCGAGGATTGTCATACTCATACATTGCATCATTCCTTACTTCCTCAAATAAAGTTTCAAATTGATATCTCCAAAATTTATGAGTCATAGTCCGAACAAATATTATTATAGATATAAATAAAGGGCAATAACTTAGAAATAATTAAGTGAACGAGTATTATTCTTGCACAATGTACTCTACACTAATGACATTTATCCACCAATGAAGTTTCAGGATATAATCTCGAATAATCTTTGAAGTAAAAACCCTGACAAAAATTTTCAAGAAATATAAACAAAGGGCAATAACTCAAAAATTATGAAAGGAAGTGTTATCAGCATATTATACACCACTTCTGAATGGAATGTACCCATTAAAGGTAAAGCAATCATTACTATTTTCTCAAAGACAAAACAAAATTACTAGTAAATCATATCTAATTCATATGCTTAATCTAGCCAATCAACAATGTTTTCTTATTCAATGTACGGTCGAGTCGCTTTAAAGTATAAAAGCAGACAAATGTTTAAATGTAATGATGAGAATTTGCGGTTTTCTGATTTGATTTTACAATAAGTGCAGGTTTAATTTTACGCTTTAAATCTTAAACTATACAGGTAAGTAAACAAATTTTAAAATATAATACGTATCAAACTTGATACGTATTATATACACATCTATTTCACATATTAATTTTTGTATGTTCGTATATGATATTAAAGGTATATGCCTCCAGATGAGCTCAAAAAAATTAAGAAAATTAGAGTTGAGAAAAGTGTGATAATATTTTAAGAGAAATAAATACATTCATGATTTACATGTTATGTGCGATTATAATTGACTCTTGCAGTATGTATCACCCTATTTCTACTGCTTGTCTAGCGCAGGGCTATTTTTGCGTAGATGGCCTCTTTTTGGTTACTTACATGGATTGTATGTGTTATTTACTTTTTTGTTCACTTTAAAATGTTTTACTTTTAATTATATCTTCAAATTTTTCATGAAAATTAGCATGCATCTGGAAGCATGCTTCTTTAAAGCTACGCGTCACAAGTAAAGAGAGAATAAAGAAACTATTACAATCATCCTTATTACTTAATTGATTAATTAATCATTAATTAGTTGATTGATTGATTGATTGATTAATAATTAGTTAATTGATTAATCATACGAAATTTAATCTTAACAACCAAAAATATTTAAATCAATCATCTGGAACATTTTCAATGATATTTTGATTTAACAAAAAGTTACTTATTATGATGCAAAAAATAATTATACCATTTCATTTCCTTTCGATTTTAATTATTTCATTTTTTTCTTTACATTTTTTTTTGCTATTTCTACGTTATTTACATGGAAATAATTTTACGATAACAAATGTCAGTTCCGGTGACATTTCGTATTTACATGAATGTCGATGAATTAATTAGGAACTGTGAAATATTTTTGATATCATCGCGAGGTTACAATTCAATCATAGATATACCGCGTTTTCCCAGTGTTATGGTGTAACACATTTTTATAGATAAATATCGCTTTTGTGGCTTTAAGCTATTGCACAAATTTCATGATACTGTGCATTTTCTTTCATTGTAAACGTGCGCATCCCGATCGTATCTGGGTGTAGATTTAATCTTTAAACACACGTAAAAACTAATTATGGGATGTTTAGTGTTGTAGTTTCACATTGTTTTACTTACATAACAGGTTTAAAATACACCTGGGAATATACATCATATACAATTATATCTATGTATAATATATATACAGTTATATATATACAGTTTGGAATATAATATATTAAACATTCAAGGTAAACTAAAATTTTGATCTTTCAATACACTTTAAAATGTTTTAATATTTTAAGATAAATGGTTTCGAGAGCATTAGTTTTCGTTGGGATATACATCGTTCTGTGAGCTTGTGTGAATAATGTTAAAAACCTCTCGGCAAGAGCTTCCGGGTCCGAATTTTACTCGGACGAAAGCAAAATTTGTTCGCAAGCTAAGATTTATCAGTATGGGGTTAGTTATCTTAAGATAAGACGAATGTCTCGACGAAATTTAAGTTGTTTTTTTGTTTTTTTTCCCCTCTTGTTTTTATTTTTTAACATTCATATGCATAACTTTGAAATGGTAAAAGGCGTTTTTATGGACATTCAATTACATTCCGTCTCAAAATAAATGCATTTTTTTCTTGAATTTTGTATGATGAAATACATGTATAGCGATAAGTGTATCTTCGAGCTAGATAACTGTTTTAAAGTTTGTATAAAGTGAAATTAATAGATATGTTCGTTTAGACAAAGATTCGTTATTTTTATGTATAGATATAAAATATCGATTGAATACACATTAAAGTAAACCTTAACATATTTAGTTTGAATGTTCATGTACATGTTTTGTTTGAAAGAAGATTCTCTGTAGAATCATCATGATTTTAAGCCTCTGTTTTTGTTGAGACTTCGATTTCACTAGGCTCAGATCCGCTTTAGAAAAATGTTATTGTTTAAATAGTGGACGGTAGCTTACAGTTACCACTACCGTCCATGAACATGCTCCTGCAACATTTTCATTTTTTTTCTGTTTTCGGGCGTTCTTTTAGGATTCTGTCTTTCTCTTTTTAACGTTAAATCTCAACGTAAAGGTATTACGTCCGTATAACGTTATTCCAGATCAAATGGTAGAAAAATGTTTTTATTTTATTTTTGTCAATTCGTATTTTTGCATGTTATGCACATAGTTCAAATGTAAAATTGTTTTAGAGTATAAAAAAATCAAAAGGCTTTTTCATAGGTAAGCCTGTAAAACAACCTATATGTGTCTGAAGATAGGACGAGGCTGATAAGCAAAGTGCTTGTACAACATCATCTTGTATTACCTAAAATACAGGTGTGCCGTTGTGTTTTTCAAATGACAAGAAGTTATTTTGATGAAAAATACGTTACGTCGAGCGTTAAGTAGAAATATCCTGGTTTTGATAAATGGACGGATAAGTAACATAACATAGGTTAATTTATTATATAAAATACTGATTATACCTGTGATATAAAATGTAGGTGTGCATGAGAAAAAAACAACAACAAAGTTTTGTAGCCATCGTCAACAATATATTTGAGAGAAATGTACACATAGTATATATAACATGTGGCAGTAGCTAAATGCCAAACAATATCTGGTGTCGATTGATATACAAAGATCAGTAGGTTATTCAAATATATGCTAAAAATACATTCCAAATATATACGTATATGTAATAAAATAATTGTAGGTTATTTAACATACGGAAATATACATGTATTTGGACGAGTAGACAGCTGGACAAACCGTATTTCCCAAATAAACCGTATTTCTCAATTGAACCGTATTTTCTAATGTATTGATTTACTTCATAAATAAGCTCAGGTAATGATAATTTGACATGTACATGTATTTCTAAACATTGTAACGGAAATTTTGAACACGACAATGCCACAAGACAAAAAAAATGCAACAGACCAAATGATAATACTACGTTAGACATCAAAATGCCGCACGACACATAGTGATGCCATACGGTTCATGACAATACCACACGACAAAATAAATGCCTAACTACACATGCCAATACCACACGACAAATAACAATGCCACACAAGACATGACACCATATGACAATGCTACACGACAAATGACAATGCTACACGAGAAATAACATTGACTTGTGAAACATGGCAATATCATATGACAGATGACAATGTCTTACAAAACACTGCAATTTTATACGACAATTAACAATGTCACACTGAACATGACAATGCCACACGACAAAAGAAATCCCTAACTACACATGGCAATACTACAGGAAAAATTTCAATGCCACACAAGGCATGACAATGTCACACGACAAATGACAATGCCTTATTGCACGTGACAATGCTCCACGACACAAACGACAATGACTTACGAAACATAGCAAATTCATACGACAGATAACAATGCCACACAGGGCATGACAATTTCACTCGACATATGTCAATGTCTAATGACTATAACATACAACACACGACAATGCCAAATGACATAATAATAATGCGATACGACTCAAAAATGATAAATTCGTTGAAATCACTTTGATATACACAAACCATTCAAATAAATTGAAAGTGATGCATGGTTGCATAGGTAATGATAATTTGACATGTACATGTATTTCTAAGCATTGTAACGGAAATTTTGAACACGACAATGCCACAAGACAAAAAAAATGCAACAGACCAAATGATAATACTACGTTAGACATCAAAATGCCGCACGCCTAACTACACATGCCAATACCACACGACAAATACCAATGCCACACAAGACATGACACCAAATGACAATGCTACACGACAAATGACAATGCTACACGACAAATGACAATGACTTGCGAAACATGGCAATATCATATGACAGATGACAATGTCTTACAAAACACTGCAATTTTATACGACAATTAACAATGTCACACTGAACATGACAATGCCACACGACAAGAGAAATCCCTAACTACACATGGCAATACTACACGACAAATACCAATGTCACACAAGACATGACAATATCACTAGACAAATGACAATGCCTTAGTGCACGTGACAATGCTCCACAACACAAATGACAATGACTTACGAAACATAGCAAATTCATACCCACACAATGCATGACAATTTCACACGACATATGTCAATGTCTAATGACTATAACATACAACACATGACAATGCCAAATGACATAATAATAATGCGATACGACTCAAAAATGATAAATTCGTTGAAATCACATTGATATACACAAACCATTCAAATAAACTGAAAGTGATGCATGGATGCATATTTAATTATTTACTGCCAACTGAACATATACATCTTTGTAAGCAAAAAAAAAAACTTCTTTAAAATGCAAACACTTCGTCACTAGGAGTGTCTTCTTCGTAAATGTAGTTTATTTGAGTTGCACTTTAAACGTGGGTGACATTGGTGTATCAAATACAAGTTATATGTACGCTCGTATTTCTTTAAATACGTTTGTAATAACTGTAGCTTTAACCGACTACATTAAGAAATTGGTTGTTACAGACAGCCCCCTAGGCTCTGCAAGTGTGCATCCAACAACTGTGCTAACATGTCTAGCACCATGTTTCAACTCTTGTGTATAAGCATAATTATGTTACAGAGTTGTTTCTTATCATTCTGTGTATAAGCAAGTAAATATAACCAAGTTCACTTTTTTTCATTACACTTATAAAGAAGAGCAAAAGATATCCAAACAGAAATTTAATACATAGTGTACTTGAAAAAGCGCTTGAAATCTTTACAACTCATTAATGTCCAATTTGATTTGTCTAAAATACTGCCGTTTCTAATAGGACGACAGAAAAAATGAATGACCGAATGTACGAACGAACGTATGAACAAACGAATAGGTGGTGGTAGTGTTGGTAGTTCTCATTCCGGATCACGGTAGTAAGCCACATTGAATTTACAAGAACACAATTCAGCCACCGCATCGTTCCTGGACAGGCTGTCAAGCAGTTTACCAGTACTAGTTGCCTTAAAGATCCTGTATGTTTTGTAATTGAGATTGCATACCACTCTTCATTGAATTATATATGTATGTAATTATGCAAATTTGTCAATTTTCAAACATGGAAGAATATGTAAAATATGTATTGCAAATATTTGTACATATTTAAGGTAATCATTAAATTATATGCATTCATTTCTTATTGGAAAAATTGACTTAGAATTTATAGAAAACTAAATTCTAATTACTTCCCTTTATTTACATGAAATATTAAATTCGGTAATATCTTTATAAATAATGTTTTTTGAAACTTACAATATCGATAAATCTTAATTTGAGCATCATAATTTGTATATATAACCATAAAAATAATGTGTTACAGGATCTTTAACTTCCGCAAGGAACTGCAACTTCTGTACATGCTAGAGCAGAGGTACCGTGCGAATGACGGCGGAAGAAAAGATTTCATGATCAGTCACCACAAAAGTGACCTGCACCGTCTGGGAATCGAACCCGGATCGCCCGATTCACAGTCCAACGCTCTACCGGACGATTGAACAAACGAGTAATTTATGTTATCCTTTTTTATCATTAAACAATCAATTAAAACGAAGTGTTTTCTAATATTTACATGTGTTGAAAAAATGTCTCAAGAATTACTCATACTGCTCGATTCTTCTTATTCACATCTATACAAGAAAAGAAGATAAAATCTATAAATATTAAAATTTCTTATTGATATAGATATGATGTATTTATAGGTATTATTATCAGTATAAGTGATAGATTATTATGATTTATAATAAAACCTGTCATGTTAATAACTCTATAATCAGCTATAGAGATATTGTTTCCCCCGGGAGATATTTTATCAACGCTGAGATAATGGCAAAATCAGGAAGTTCTTTTTTTAAAGAATAATTATGTAAAATAATATTATACTGTTATGTCATGTGAAGACAGAGTAGTGTAATAATGGTTTTGGTTTCATTTGTTTGTTTGTGCGCGTGTGTACGTGTTAGCTTGCTTGTTTGTCAGTTGTCCGTCTTTCTGTCTGTCTGTCCGCACGAATTAAAGTGACATTGAGGGATGAATATCCTGTTAATTCCGTTCAGGCTTGTACTTTGTGTAAGTTGCTTATGGAGTCGTAGAGATGAAAGAATCAAAGGAATAACTCCATAACGTCAACTCGGGAAGAATGTTCATCCGTCCGTTTGAGTGGACATTTGTAGGGTATAGTAGACATGATGTAACGGTAATTTCTATTTATTCCGACTGGGTAAAAAGTGAATACTTTTGAACACAAGACAAATCCAAAAAATAACATTTGAAGGAACATGTGTCTGTCCTTCCGACTGTCTCTTCATTTATATGTCCATTCGTTGGTTCGTTCGTGCGTTATTACTTTCATTCATTTTTTCCTGTTTTCATTTTTTTTTCACAATGTTTAAAGGAATCAATGCGGGACCATTTTTAGCCAGATGAAACGATCACAACTAACAAGAATCGCAGTTCATTGCAGTAGAATTCTTTTTCTTTATAAAAATATTATACAGATTCAAAATATAACGAAAGTCATTCCATAATGTTATTAGAATCACTTTTTAAATAAATCATATTTGGATGTAAACCGTTAAAAAAGTTCAAATATAGCACCCTTTTCCCGATCTGTTTCGTAAGATTTATGTTTTAGATACTTTTAATTTGTGTTTTTAATTGGTTTTAAAAAAGAGTAAAAGGTTGAACAAGGTATCCCATAACCTGCGAACTCACAATGAGAAAATATATATGCTTTAAATGTATGTTTGAAGTAGAACGTAAAAAAGTTTATGTTTAATAATTCGATGACCTTTTGTCGTCTGATGACAAATTGCTGAGCAAACATATATTGATCGGCGGTTGCCCTATATTTACCTGCATTTACAGCTGTTTAGTATAATATGTCTTGGTCAAGAAACATTTATGCAAATAGTTTTGACAAAAACCTGTCAATAAAATTCAGATGGTCATCTTACCATGTTACTAAATAACTGACCATTTTCCCATAGCTTTATGACACACACAGTGGTTAATATTTGGATTAAAAACAATCGCCCGTGGTCGGATGCTGATATGAATGGCACATCTCCGATAATTATCATTTCAACAGAAAAATAATCAAAGGCTTGAAATAGAAAATAAGACGCGGGACTCTTTATTATCCTCTGGAAATGCAGAAATTAATTTCTCTTTCAGGAAACACGGATATAATTTCGTAATGAAATCAGCAAAAAGTGCCGTGTCTGTTTCGGAAGCTGTCGTCTGTTTCGATCTTTGATGTATCAAAAATGGCGGGTCCAGGATTGTTCGGTTGGACTAGTATGCTTAGAGATTTTTCGTCAAATGTTACGGATACGTTGTGGAGCTACCTAACTTGGCAGAATTCGGAGGTAACCATTTTGATTTTTTCCCGTCACAATAGACAACAATTAAAGAAACATTTATGTCATGATGATCTTGTATATTATTAAATGCTTGCTTTTATTTCGAAGCCTCGGCTGAAGATAGATATAGATTTGTTATCCAACATTCCATATACGTACGTGTTTATAGTTTATCATTTCAAAAAAAAAGGAGAGAAAAAATGAGTTAAGAGATAGTTATCGTAAAAATCTTAACTCCCTTGGAATGAGGTTATTAATCTTTATGAATATCAAAAGAAAACTTTAGGCCGCAAAGTCCTTTTCTTTTTTTTAATGTATCTATTTTATACTTTCACGCACACCAGACTGTTTTAGATATATATATTACTGCATTTATGGTATAAGAGATTTTTTTCCGGTCTGGAGATAATAGTGTATTCAAAAGGACAATATCATGGCGACCTGTGAAAAATGAAGAAGAGCGCTTGATTTGCAGGCTCATAAAGTTATATTATATGTTATGAAATCATTTCATAGGGTTAGAAAAAGCAAAACTATTATTTGTCTAGAAAAGTGGCTCCGACGTCCGTTGCCGGTATTTACTCCGTAACCGGTTATATACCGGCAACACGGAATTTAATACATTTTCCAGCCATTGCACGAGCACTGACCTACTTACGAGAAGCGTTCCAATATTATTCGGCTATGGCGTGATATAATTCAAAAATGTCCTTTCTGTTTAAGAAGTTGTCAAAGGTTCGGAAACTGCAAAAGAAAAATGTAAGTAAAGCAACTGGTGATGCCATCCAAATTAAATAAGACTGTTCCGACAAACTACAACTTACAAGTTTTACCAGTTTACTCCGATAAGGCGTGGTCTACAGCGGTACAGACCCAATATCGTCCAAAATGTTAGAACAATGCGCTGTTTTTTAATTTTTTTTTCAGAAACTTTGTCCAGTCGGAGCAACGACTTTTTTGTAGGTTAAGGTCTAATGCAACAAGAGCCTGGGTAAAGTTATGGTTCTTGGAAGGTGACCTCCATCGGTAGTTACAGCCTAACTTAACCTGGACTTTTTTGAGTTCACAAAGGTCAATAAATTAGACAAGTTGGACAATGATGGTCCATAAGCATATTAACTCTGGAACAGGACCGCATATTGCGGCGCATAAATCCGAATCCTTACCGGCTTTACATATAGTTTGTCCGACCTTTAAATATCTTTTCATATTATGCGAGCGGGTGGTCTTTAATTATCTAATCTCAATTTAATATAATCTGCTAATTTAAAAATCTGTCAAATTTACGGTATATTGAAAAAAGAAAAGGAGTGACATCCGCCATTTGCCGCAACGTTCGGCGTAAGTTATCCCCCTTGATATGCTTGATTTTTGTTTTAATTTTTCTAGTAATGAATACGAGATGAGTGCCTAAAATATTTATCTATGGATCATGTTTTAATATTCCTTTTTTCAGTTAGGCAAAATCAGTTGGACCATATTACTAAAGTGTCTGTTTTCTCCATTTTAACAAATCAATACACGAATACGCCCGTTATAATGCCGCCTATACATGTCAACACGTGTAAACAATAAACCGTTAACGTTATATCCGGACGATACCTGATAGTTGACAAAAATAACGCGAACAAAATTCTGAAAAAATAGTAATCAATTGTAGCCAAAGGGGAAAAACTCATGCCGAAAACGTTGCGGCAAATAGCGGATGTCACTCCTTGTCTTTTTTTATAATACTGTAAAATTTGACCAGTTTTAAAAGAGACAGATTGGGTTCAATTGATAATATATTTTTTGAGTCCATACACTCGGTTAATACGAAAAGATATTTAGATGTAGCAGAAACGTTTTTAAAAACCGTTACACGATCGAAAATATACGCCGCAATCTGCGGTCCCGTTCTCGAGTTCCTATGTCCATAAGTAGAATTTAAAATTGATGTTACCTGCAAAACTTTTTAAACAGGAATTTTGTTTTTCACAAAGGGCCATAAATAGGACGATGAGTTATAGGTCTTGGACAGTGACATTCAATTATTACTGAAGATATTTACGGTCACAGAAATATGTATTAACTTTTAATTTTGTCAAAACACGTGTTAGAGTTACAGGCCTTGAACAGTGACCTCCTATTGTGATCTCAAAGACATGTGTAAAGTTACTAGCAAATACCTTTAGTAGCTTATAAGATATACTGTCATACAAGAAGTTGCATATAAAACTTGAAGCATTACCATGACCACAGCCAAGGTAACAGATATATAATTCCAGATCATTACTGTTGGTGGCTAAGCTTTCATATGACAAACCCCTCTTATTAATGCTTTCAGCTCCCGGGACCTTAGATTCTTTCATGTGAGGAAGCTAGCCAGTTAGCTTACAGATTTACGATTGTTATACTCAGTTGTGCATTTGTGCTTGAAATTTACATAAGGGCATTGAAGGTCTTCCTCGCTAACTAAAGCTGGAAAGTTGCCATAATGACCTTTGCAGTGTTGGTGCCACAAAAAAACCAACAAAAAAAGGGCAGCTCCAAATTCAAATTCAGGACAAGTTCATTAATTAACAGCAAAGTGTCAAATATAATAATTCTATGAGTTAATGCAGGAGAAACCTACATATACTGAATGAGTGTAATCTATTCAAATAATACTCTGGATGATACCCCAGGGTCTATTCCAGGATATTACCAATTTAGCATGGTATAATATAATGGTATAATAATTAAGGGTTAACCAGAAAATTAACTTTCATTTCAAGACAATGTCCAGTTTAACATAGCATGATAATTATTGGGTATACAGTTAATCAAAATATTTTTATATCTTTTTTTGATTTGGTTATACATTGCACCAACACAATATAGGACAAATGGTGAATTTCAAACTTTTCCAGAGGATGACGGGGATGAAGACCTAAGATGCCACTCTGTGCATTGAGGTTCAAGTTTGACAGTGCATGAGTATTTATATACAAATGTCAAATTTAAACGCCTAATCATTGTTACATCTCACAAAATACAAATGAACCTTGAGCAAAATAACAGTATAAAGGTCATCAATAATCTCAACAAATGTGATTTTTTTTAGAGCTAATCTTCCAGTATAAACAAACTTTCCCCATATACTATTCACAATAGATAAGTCCCACTCTTGCACTTATAGGGGCGTCCATGGCAGAGTGGTTAAGGTTGTTGACTTTAAACCATTTGCCCCTCACTGCGCTGTGGGTTTGAATCCAGACAGGGAATTTGGATTCCTTCATGTGAGGAAGCTATCCAGCTAGATTACGGAACATTGGTGGTTCTACTCAGTTGCCTGTTGGTGCCTGAAATGATGCAAGGAAAGGCACCTGAGGTCTTTCTCCACCAGTAAAGCTGGAACGTCGCCATATGACCTTTACTGTGTTGGTGCGACATAATACCCAATCAAACAAACAAACAATCTTGCGCTTATTTTTGAGGCTGACAAACTTAAAAAATTTATTTGTAACTCCCTAAAGAGTTGGAAAAGTTAAAAATATTCTTAAATTCTGGAGTAAAATAATGAGAACAAAGGTCAACAAGGCAAAACGACATAAACAGAATGCAGCCCCAACACATCCCATTCACACCAGCAGGGCACCCATAATATCAGCAGGGCACCCAGAATATCAACAGGGCACCCAGAAGGCACCAAACCAGTCTATCAATTTACAGTTTTTGTGATTGCTTTATTTTGCAGGTCAAAGCAAAGGAGTATGAGGCTCTTCAACAATGTCTTCAGGAACTTTATGGGGACCTGTCCGGGATAGTGATGAAACAGGCAATGAGTTTACTACACCAACAGTACAACGGTAACATGGAGAAATTTAAGAAAGAATTCTTTACTCCTGCTGTAGAATTACTGACAAAGTTAAGAGAGGTAAGTTTTTAAATTAGAATAATAAAAGGAATTTTCTTAGCTTATTTTATTTCCATTTGTGTTGTTAGCACAAAATAACACTAGACAAAATATTTATTTCATATACTGGCTATATTCAGAATTTGGAACCAGGGTATTTGTAATATGAAATGTTAACCATATCATTGCTTAAAAGCCATTAAAATCAGTTGTAGTTTGAACCGGTATTGTAAATTATTTGGGATAATATCATGTGACATTGCAATTATCACAAAAGGTGTTCTGAGCATACCCCTGCGATATGAAATGCATGAAGTCAAGAATATTTCATACTTTAAAGAACTGTTCATGAACTATTCTTGAAAAAATCTTAAAGCTCTCTTCATGAAGTTTTCTTCATGAAGTGAGGTCTCGTCCCACTTCATGAAGATTTGAAGAATTATTGAAGAATTCATAAAGTTCTGGAAATATTCATGAAATGTTCAAAAAATAAATCATGAATATTTTATGAACTTGATATCCTTAAAATACTCATGAACTATTCATCAGAAATTTCACGAAGGTTTAATGAATTTTTAAGAGAGTTAAAAAATTCACAAAGCATTCTTGAAATAATCAATGTATCATACTTGAAGAGTTTTTAAAACTATTTATCTTATACACGTAATAATAAATCTCTAAAAAGTCAAGAAATATTCCTAAGAGAAAAAAAAAATATATAGAGATATGTAATGACCTAGAGCCTTTCATTGAAAGAAATTAAGCTTAACTTATATCACAGATTTAAAATTCTCTACAGGAGCTCTATGATATTAAAAAATCAATAACGATTGTTTCAAAACTAAGCATTTACATATAAAAAGAACACATCTATGCAACCCAATTTTTAATACTTATAAGTAGGTATTATATGTTATTCATATCTGTGCTAAAACATGTAATCAGACACTTATATTAAAGCTATTTTAGCTAATTTAAAACTTGAGAGTCTGACTTAGTTTTCAGTATAAAAACTTGTCTTCCACCACTTTAAATTACACAATGTAAAATTTTAAAGATTGAGGTCATAACACCACTTTCAATCATTAAACCATGAAATTTCAAAGATATGAGGAGCCTGGAGTCTTATTGCAATAATCAGTCCTGTGAAATTTGGTGTAATTTCCTCTAGTGTTAAGAGAAAATAGTTATATATAATAGACTTTGACAATTCAAGGGTCATAACACATTCAAAATCAATGAACTGGAGCACGAGAATGGTATACACTATTAAGACTTTGCTCTGACCTGAGTCCTGTGAAAATTAGCCCAGCATAGTACAAGTGAAGTTTCCAAAACATAAAAGTCAATGTGAAGGACCATATAAGTACGTGAAGGACCATATAAGTACGTTGAAAAACTAGAACATGTAGATGGTTTGCACAACCTAAGCCTTAACACTGAAAAGTTGTAATGTGTTAATAATTTTTGTTAGAAACGTGGCCAAAAACAAAATGTGCCAAGAATATCAGTCACTTGAATACAGCATGTCCATGTTTGTTTGGCCTTGTCCCAACTATTGCTGTTTCTGCATCTACCTCCAAATCCATGAAAACCAATGTACACATTATCTGTTCCACAGGTACAACATCAATCTCATGACTTTGTATTTGCACTGGTTTTAAATGTTTTCCTCCTTCATATGTATGCAGCCAAGAAGTACTGTTCAGTATCATCTTCTTCATCACAGCATAAACTTTATTTGTATCATTCACTAGAATAAGTAGTGTACCAAACCTAACTTGTCAGTAGAATAAAGGACAGCATGACATGTACGCTTCTTCATTCTTGAGTATTCTGCACTGTAGAATTTGTTGCCATTAACACATATTCTTTGAACCTTTCTCAAACTTCTACTACTTTCAACACCTAATGCATGTAAAATGTCCCCACTTGGCTGACCTCTAAATGTCTGCACAGAACCAAATATGTCACAATTTTGTGCCACAAGAGTCACTTTCGTTTTCCTCTGATTTGACTGTTTCTCCCCTGTTATAGATCTTATGTGCATAGAAATCTCCTGATTCCTCAGAGATTGCTTGACAACATCTCCAGTACCATGTACCGACTTCAAGATCATCGAATTTCCATCCTCAAAAGCAAAGCAACTCCAGCTCCATATTGGACCTAAGTTTTCCACGCAACTTGGCATATGAACACAAACATTATGTACATTTAAACCACTTGACCCTTGTCCATAAAGGCCAGCAAACTGACGATAAAACTGGTTCAGCAGTTGTTTCGACCTAAAAAGGCTTTCTTCAGTGATTTCGTCGCCTAACAGAATGAAAATAGCTTCAGACAGCAAAGCAAAATGCTGTAAGTACCGTTCATGATGAATACCATGGAGACATGGTATTGAATAATATAACAGAAATGTCTGAAGTTCCGTTGCTTTCAAGTGAGCATAATTCTTCTCCAGATCACGTGGCAAACGTTCGATGAAGTAAGGTGGCTTTATTTTCAACAACTTTTCGGAAACACGTTTCAGTTCTTTGCCAATGAAATGATCTTTGCCACTCTCTGTAGGTGAAAACCATTTATTCAAGATAGTTTTAACAATTCCAAGAAGAACAGCATGCATGTAATCTGGAACAATACCATTGACCAGGTCAAATTCTTGTAAACATGCCAGACCAGATAAACCTTTGAACCCTTTAATTCTGTGAATTGCAGATGCATTTCTCATTGATTCTATTACACTATCATGGGATCTGATCGGGAATAACTCATTTTCAGTTCGGTATGGGTAGCTTCGACAGTGCCCACGACCTTGAGCCACAGTAACACCAGTTTCCTCACATAAAATACAGGCCTCTCTCCCATTATACAAAGTCATATTGAGAACTGCAGCTTTTGCTGGCAAGTCCATTGTGACGCAAAGCACTCTTAGATACACTACATAAAGCTTCTCTTCCATTTCCATTTGAATGCCATTTTGTGTCAATATGTTTATTTCCTGACAGATGTAGGCCAGAAACTGTTTAAAGGGTGGTTTGCCTTTACCCTGCCATAATCCTAAAACCAATAAGTTTTCTCTTGAAAATCTTAGTTCTGGGCTTAACTCATTTATCGCCATAAACACTGGCCATAATTCTACCTTTGATGAAGAATACAAGTTTACTCCATCTGTGTTCATTGTCCCAGTGAGATGTATACTTTCACACTCTGGTAAGTTTCTTTCAGAAACTTTATACATTTTCCCACTATGTATGTCTGTTATTTTTGTATCATTTTCATTTTGATGTATTCTTTGCTTTGTCATAAGAATGTCTTCAAAAATTCCTGAAAAAAAGTAAAACATATTAGGGTTATATTTCTAAAAACATGTCTCAACCTGCCCCAAGCAAGGTCCCTGTGACCTTCGACCTGGAACCGTATTGGATATGTCCCTAGTATAGGTTAGTGTTTTTAGTAAGCATTTATCAAATTAAATTGGTCTGACCAATTTAATTCGATAAATGCTTACTAATAAATACTAACCTGTTTAGTGGTAAAAATTATATTTTGTTTACTATCTAAGTATGTAGTAAATTCAATTGATTTACCAAATTAATAAAGAAAGTCAGGTTACTGTTGATTTATCAAAATAAATGTAGGACTTATTTGAAAAATACTGCAATCCTATTGGACAAAATATAATTTCAACCACTAATGAAGCTTAAAGGTTATAGATACAAGGGTTCTAAAGTTATCAAGCAGGGACTATATTCATCTTAAGGTCCCTGTGACCTTGACTTTCAATCTATTGACCCCAAAGAAGATAGGGCAAATCTGTTGACCACGAACGATGCCCTTATGATGTTTGAAAGGTTTTAGTACAAGAGTTCTTAAACTTTTGAGTGGAAACTGTTGTCTTATTTCAGGTCTCCATGACCTTGACCTTTGCACTATTGTCCCTGAAAGGTATAGGGCACATCTGCAGACAAAGACCAAGTGCCTATAAAAGTTTATGGTTATAGGTGCAATGGTTCGCAATTACATGCATATGAAATTGAAGAAAATCCCTCAACAAAATTTTTCATAACTGATAAATGGGAATAACTAAACAAGATGGCCATGATGGCTCTAAATCGCTCACCTGATTTAAATTGCCTGCTTTTAAAAGAAAAGTTTAAGATTTGATGGACATTTGGAGAAGACTTTGTCGACATGAAATAAACAATGATCATCAAGATAAACATTCTTACAAAGTTTCATTACGATACATGTCATAAATGTGACCTAGAGTTTTAAGAAGCTTTTCCTATGACTTGACCAAGTGACCTAGTTTTTGACCACACATGACCCAGATTAAAAATTGACCTAATGATCATTATAATATACATTCTGACCAAGTTTTAATAAGATACAATCATAAATTTGACTTCTACAGTTTTAACAAGCTTTTTCTATGATTTGACTTGGTGACCTAGGTATTGACCACACATGACCTAGATTCGAACTTGACCGAGGAATTATTAAGACAAACATTCTGATCAAGTTTCATAAAAATACAGTAATAAATATGACCTCTAGAGAGTTAACAAAACTGTTAAGGCATGGACGGACGTTCTTATGAACTGATACTTATGTGTTGATCAGAAAAGCTCACCCAGTCACTATGCGAGAGGTGAACCAAAAAATAGCCAAGGTATTAATATTGTTCTTGCACATTACACTTCCTCCCGTGTATAAAGTTTGAAGAAAATCCCTCAAGTAGTTTTCTAGTTATACTCCGGATAAAATTGATTTGGAAATATGTATGGAGACCATTTCTAATATCCCCTACGCCTTTGGTGAGGGGATAAACAAGACGGATGCACGGACATCCTAACAGATACTAATGTGGCTATGCTACTGTTCTCTCCATTGTTTTTTACCCATGTAAGAGAAAATTTGTGCCACATAAGAGACTGAATGAATAGAATTTACAGTCATGTATTTTGTCCTCCTGGCCACTTTAGTATCTAAACATTTACATGGACATACATGAAATCGCCAAAATTGACAACTATGTCCAGCTTATCACAAGTGGGATCGACAACTAGAGTTGGCAATAATAACTCCTGTGAAGTTTGGTATAAATCAACCCAGTTGATTGGACAAACATTTGTGACAGACAAGCAATAATAAATTAATATGTCTCCCCCTTTACATATGAGAGAGTAGGGAGACATAATTGTAAAGCTGAAGATATATAATACTAACCTGGAGCTTTAAGCATATTGCATAACAGGTCTGCCACATTTGCAATCATGAAGGACTTTATTCTTCCTCTGCAGTTTTCTGAATTGCATTCAGATGAATTTCCATTGTTAGGAGTTACACACTCACAAACACTACAGTAATGGATTTTTTTATAAGTACTTGATGGTATGTGAGATAGCAACTTTTCATAACTAAGCAGCGAATGTATTGCCTTTTCATTTTCGGGCAAAATGTCTTTTACAGTATCTTTAACTGTTTTCAAGACATCTTTGCAAGCAGAGGCTGTTAAATTGTGTCTTTTAAAACATTGTAGCAAGTTCAATGCTTTGGTCTTTGCATCAGATGCATAGACAGGATAATGTTCTTCATTTTCGTCTGAATCTGATGACTGTGAATCTGAGAAAAGACTATCCTCTGATGAGAAAATGTAATTAGATCTATCACTATCTGTGGCTTCATCAGAAGTTTGTTCATGAGAACTGTCACTGTTACAAAGGTCAGGAATTTCAATGTTAGATTGGCAGTGTTCCTTTCCAACACCCTTGAAAAAGTTGTCTGACACATTTTCAGAGGTACCAGCACCTAAAAATACAAAAAAAGAGAAAACATGTTAATTTCTCTTCATGCAAACAATTTAAAGTTAACTACCGGTAGAATTGTCACAAGAGTGATGAACTACATCCCCATATAGTTTCAATCACTGTGACCTTTGATCTACAGACCTCAAAGTCAACCTTGACCTATATTTCATGATGTTTCACCAGTGTAACAAAAATCATTTAAATCTGTCAAGCTTTTCATGAGTTATCATTTTGGAAACCGTTTTACTATTCAGGGTCACTGTGACATTGACCTTTGACCTCAAAATTGTCGACCTGTATTTTATGATGTAAGACCTGTATACCAAAAATTATTTAATTCAGTCAAGTCATTCATGGGTTATCATCCGGAAACCGTTTCACTGTTCAGGGTCACTGTGACCTTGATCTTTGACCTACTGACCCCAAAGTCAAACTTGACAGGTATTTTCTGATGTTGCATCTTTGTACTAAAAATTATTTAAATCAGTTGAGTCATTCAGGAGTTATTATCCGGAAACCATAAAACCAAAAGACCGACCGACAAGCTCACTCCTATATATACACCCCAAAACCTTATTTTGTGGGATTGTAATTATTCTTGTTTCTAATTTAGCACACTTGATGTTTATTTTAATTTCGGTACCGTCTCATTTCTTGCCTATATATGGTAATTCTTCCCACATTCTTTAACATTTTTCTAGTGTTTTTTTAGTGTACAAGGCTGCATATACAGTAAACATTTGTAAGCATTGCAAGTGAGCTGAACATTTTGAAGCCAGAGATATTGGCCTTGTCATTTTTGTACATACAATGCCATCTTGTTAGTCATCCTAACATGGTGCTGACAGATTTTTTTTTTAAACTGGGACCCAGGATCCATTTAACTTGAAAAAAAATGTGTGCAAAATGTCAAACTTCAGAAAAATGAACTTTGCCAGAAAATGACTTCATTTCAAGTGTATGCTTTTTAATTCCACAATGACAGCATTAGTCTGTTCTTGGCCACTTTGGGAACCACTTTGCAACAAACTTTTTACTTCATTCACAAATTGGTGGAGGTGGTGTGTGGTGGGGGATACACCAGGTGCAATACGATAAAGTACCATGTCAGATGCTTAGACTGTATAAAATTTGCTATCCTGCAATTGTTTTGGGTTCTTTGTTTTCAGAGAGTCTTTGACTTCAGGTTGGTCATTAGACTGTCAGGTGACTAATGATTAAGCTTTACTTAGCTGCATCTTACCTGCCTGATCTTTGAATGTCAATGTTTTAGAGGCCTGCTTCCGTTTGTATGCAGTGCTTCTTGGAACTGGTAAACCGTCATCTTTTAAGTACAACTTCTTGACACCCTTGAACGGAGCTGTAAAATAATAAAACATTTTCTAAAATTTCAAAATTGTCAAATTATAATTGTCACTGAAAAAATCATATTTATTGTAAAACCTGTGAACAAAGGTCACACCCAAAAGAGACAAGAGCAATGATGGCTCCATAGCGCTCAACTAAGCAACTGCGAGTTTGCACAAATAAAGAGTTAGACTGGGTATAATGATATTAGAACTTGTGAGCAAACTTGTGCTTTAATACAATAAAGTAGATCAAAAGGCTATGATCAAGGTCACTATATACATTACTTAACCCTTTCGCTGCCAGAGGGTTATTGTTTTATTGATCACCTATTTGCCAGAGGGTTTTCAAAGTAATTACTATATTATTAATTAATATAATTATTATAATTTGTTAATAGTTTTATAATAATTATATATGTTTCCAAATTTGTCAGTATAATAATAATTATTGTCGATGGTATAATTTTCTTTATATTTATTATTATTTTTATTATTATTACTATTAATTTATTATTATTACTATTTTTATTATAGATACGGGTAAAGCCGTCCATATAGCAAATACGCCGAAAATAACAGGGACGGCTTATGCCGTCCCTATGGCAGTGAAAGGGTTAAAACAGACCACATTTTGGTTCACCCAAGGGTGGTCGTTATAGAAAGATTTGACTGTATGTTCAACACCTCATTAGCAAGTATTTCTACATACTTACAAAGGCCATGCTGGCTACATAGGTGTTTCAGAATATTATCCTTGGTTGATACTATTCTAAGGCAAAACTTGCACTGAAACAATCTCTTTTCAGAAATGTGAATGCATCTATAACCATCAGCTTTTTTCCTTGTTGCCATCTGAAATTTAAAGAAAGGTACATTAATATGGTTTACTGGTTCACCATTCACTTACATGTAATGTGTGGTAGATTTCAGACTTAATTTTGTACATTTGATTTGTTATTGAAGAGGATGAGATTATTGCATGTTAAGAAGATAGCGACGCCTTTTGACTTTTTGTGAGTTGTTGAAACTGTGGAACGAACCAAACTTAGCCAAATGTTTTTTCGAAAGTTTACGAAACGCTTCAGCATTATTTTTATTGTCACTAATGTGTTTTCTTCTAGTGTAATATATTTTGACTATAAATGGGAGATGAAAGCTATTAAATTAAAAGAAATATCATCCTATTTAATGATTTAATCTAAATCATTACTGGAATGACCATTTATTAATAATTTTAACTGAATATTATTTTTCTAGTCTGAATGTGTTTCACTTAGAATATATTATGAAAGATATAGTATTAAATAACAACAAATGCAAAAGACCTACATAATGGGGATTACTGACAAGCAAAGGGACCAGGCACAGTGTTGGGATAGTGTAAAAAAGTAATTCTAGAAAAAAATTATACTTTATATATAATATATAGACAAGGGGTTGAACTCGCCAAATCGGCCGAACGCCCCTAGTCCAGTATAAGTCAAAATTGCAAAGTCATTCTTGCGTAAATCATATAAAGCTATATATCAAATTGCAGCTAAATGACATCACTAGACGTTGACAATATCATTACTGTCCCAACTTAAATCGTTTTTGAACAACAAACCGATATTTTGGATGACACATCGTATTTTTTGCTAGGTCGGACACAACCGTGCAACCTGTCCCCACTCGATTTCTACGTGTAAAAACGCACTTCCAAACCATGACATTATATCAACCTGCAATAAATCGATAATACAAAACAAGAGAAACAACTTTTTATTGAAAATGACTTTGCAATTTTGACATATACTAAACTAGGGGCATTCAGCCGATTTGGCGAGTTCAACCCCTTGTCTATATATTATACGGGGAAGTCAAAGACTGGGCCCGCGAAGCGGGTCCGGGCTTTGGCTTGCCCGGCTATAGACTACACGTGTATATTTAAAAGAAAATCAAATAAAAAACAATTAAAAAATATATAAAATTCTATACCTATCAATGAAATTTTCAGTGTCAGTTCTAGTCGGGCGCCGCCATTTACAATGTAACTCAATGATAATAGGCGGGGTATTCCGATAACGGAACAAATCTCAACTTTTCGGATAAATGATAATCGTCCAGTGTTCCGAGTGAAAACGGAAGCGGTGCATGTTATACCAAATGACACCTTTAAAACGGAAAGAATGAAAGGAATTTTTAACGACTTCCCCGTTCATAGACTTTGCCTAATTTCATATTATATACAATATATATTTTTTTTAAAAATTACTTTTTTACACTATCCCAACACTGTGCACCAACCCTGTGCTGACAAGCATACAATTGCCCTGACAATTGTTGGTACATAAGGTGCATTAAATGAAAAATATTTTTAACAGACAAAAGAATTCTATCTTCAAAACTACCAAAAAATATTACTAAAAATCTATAGGCATTTGACATTCAATTCGGATAATACCAATTGCAATAAATTATTACAAGTTGAAAAATAACTGAAAACTTCCATTAGGATCATTTGAAATTCTGAGTCTTCAAGCATTATCCAGCTCAGCTGGTGGGTAAGATTGCTTTTTTTCTAGCTAATAAATGGCAGTTGCACTAACGCCAAATATTTGCGAAAATAAAATATCGGAAAATTTTCGTTAAATGAGAAAATCTTTTCAGAAAACTTTGCTTTTTTTCAAGATGATTCTTTAATTTATCGTGCTACTATCTAGCTATCTCGCGGCAGAAATATGCCATCATATAGTTTCGCTACATAGGACCTCTTCTGGTATTGTTGTAAAAAAGATTCTTACTCCATGAAACGAGTGACACGACAATTCAGTTATTTTGTTTGGGTGCCATCATATTCATAGTGCTGTCTGCCATACTGAAATCTATCGAACACGGAATGTGTTAAACGAAATTTGTTTAGCATAATTATAATATTTTTGAGAATATAACCTTTGTCTATCCTTACGTAATCCAAATAATAATTACAATGAACCCATTACAATAAAAAAGGTTCGATAAAAGTTGATAAACAATGAATATAATAAATAAATACCTGAAACTAAATAAATATTTTCGTTCACTCACCGTGTGCAAAAGACTGGTTTCCAGCTTGATATCCTGTACAACATTATCGTAGTATCTAGCGCGGGTAACCAATGGCGAGCGTTTGGTTTCGTCTGCAAAAATCATAGTTTAACACACGCGGCAAAATATTCAAACATCGCTCAACAAATTTCAACAGACAAACATGGCAGATAGCATGATTTACTTTCTGGTACAATGGGAGGATTGCTATATGAGTGTAATTTCACCCGATAGCGTTCTTTTGCCGAAGAAAAACTCAAAATGGGACTACGAAGAGGGCGATCTAATTGAGGCTGTTTACAACAGAGGGAAGTCGTACCAGGCAGTGATTAGCGAGATCCATCGTAAGTTAGCTTCGACACATAAACAGTGCTCAGTTGTAATAAGGTGGGAGAGGGGCAGTGTGGCTACAGACGCTTATTTTTGACTGTATACCAAATATTTCTTTGTTAGAAAAGCGACTCAAGTTGCCGTTAAATCATTATGTGAAATTTACGTATCCAAAACTCATAATTTTATGCACGATCGTAACGCTGTGAAGATTCTCTGACTCGTACATATCTGCTTTTTACACGCAGGTTGAAAATTTTCCAAATGACCGCAACTTAAAACAGCGTGACACATGCTTAAATAAGACGACCTGCTACTTTTATAAAGTTTCTGGTGTCTCAGCATATGCCTTCTAAATTTTCTGACCAGAACCCTGTCATTTAAGTGTTTATAACCAAAAGGAAGTAGTTTCACAATTAAATTATATTTAACTGATTACATGTATTTATATATTACAGCAAACAGGAAATACCTGCTACAGCAAGCAAAGCTCCCTCCTAAACATTGTTATGAAATAGCAAAAAGAATGATCAGTATGGGTAAGTAACTTGTGTAATACTAGTTATATAATAAATAAGGTACTGACATTCCATATTTGGCTAAAAAACTTTTCTTTCAAGCTGAAGCTTTGTCATATTATGAACATTAGAACTTGTGTAATACTAGTTATATAATAAATAAGGTACTGACATTCCATATTTGGCTAAAAAACTTTTCTTTCAAGCTGAAGCTTTGTCATATTATGACACTACAAGAACCAAAACTAGCCTAAGTATTTTTTGAGTTATTCCGTTTAGTTAATTTTCATTTTTAGCTCGACTATACGAAGTATATGGAGAGCTGTCCTACTCGCCCCGGCGTCGGCCTTCGCGTCCAGATTTTAGATTAAAGTTTTGGTGCAGTAAAATATTTATCACTATTAACTTTGTCATTTCTTAAGGTATCAACTTCAAACTTCAAATATATCTTCCTTATCATCAACCACATCTTATGTGACAAGGTTCATAACTCTAGCACCAATATTTTCAGATTTATCTCCCCTTGAACTTAGAATTTTCCTTAAAAAATACTATTTTTTACTGTTTCTTCTTAATTTCTTAAGGGATCAACCTCATACTTCAAATATATCTACCTTATCCTCATTCCCATCTAATGTGACAAGGTTCATAACTCTAGCACCAATATTTTCAGATTTATCTCCCCTTGAACTTAGACTTTTCCTCAAAAAATACTATTTCTTACTGTTTCTTCTTTATTTCTTAAGGGATCAACCTCATACTTCAAATATATTTATGTTATCATCATCCCCATCTTATGTGACATGGTTCATAACTCTAGCATCAATATTTTTAGATTTATCTCCCTTTGAACTTAGAATTTTCCATAAAAATATTATTTTTTTCTGTTACTTATTTATTTCTAAAGGGATCAACTTCATACTTCAAATATATTTACGTTATCATCATCCACATCTTATGTGACAAGGTTCATAACTCTAGCACCAATATTGCAAGAATTATCTCCCCATAAACTTAGATTTTTTACTAGAAAAATGTTATTTTTTATTATAACTTTTTTATTTTTAAAGGTCTAACTTCAAATACTTATTATTCCTTATCATCAATTACATTTTATGTGACAATGTTCATAACTCTTGAAGCAATATTTACAGATTTATCTCTCTTTGAACTTAGGATTTTCTTTAAGAAATATAATAATATAATAACTTCTTTACTTTTTAAGGTATCTACTTCAAACTTCAAATATATATTTCTTATCATTACACAAATGTTATGTGGCAAGGTACCGTCCATAACTCTAGCATGACTATTTCTAGAATTATTCCCCTTGATCTTGGAATTTATGTTAACAAATGTTATTTTTACTATAACTTAATACATAATTATACATAATTGATTTTTCTTTCATAGTTTTGTCCTTACTGCGTCCAGTATTTTATTAGTCGAGCTTCGCTGTCTCCTGTCAGTGTTCCCATTCACGCACAAATGTACGTGAATCACGTATAATTTACAAAAATCACGCATGAAATTACAACTAGGTGCGTGCATGCACGTATAAAAATTGAAGTTGAACTGCCAAAACATTATCCGCAAATTCGAATCACAAATCAATATTCTACTCATAAATCTCTGAAATTGTTTACAAGACCGTAAAAATCGATACGACCGTAATTTAATCTGAGGTCATAACTCGGGTTTCCCAGCTGTGCTATTTTTAGCTCATGGACTGGTTCATAATTATTAACGACGCTTAGCGACGCTCTATATTAAACGCAGTAACAAGTCTACATCCGGGCAATACAAATAAGCCGTCTGAAATATTAAATAATCGCTGGAAAAGTTATTAAAAAATGCAATGCAATTTAAATGAATGGTTCCATAAAAGCGATTCCAGCGAAAAATCGCCGACCTTTACTCAATCCTCTAGCGCAAATCAAGAACCAGGCCCTAGTGAAAATAGTGTTGAACCCCCCAAAAAGAAACATTGCAAACGATTTCAGAACTCCTGGTTGTCCGAATTTTCATGGCTTAGATTTGACAAAGACAACGGGAAAATGTTTTGTTTAACATGCGAGATATATGAAAAAAAAAACACTTAAAACTGTCTGTGTTTAACTGACTTGCTTGTCTAAATTATAGTTTGTACCCCCTTAATATTCTGTGTACCCCCAAAATTATGACCTAGGGGGTACATGTACCCTCAAATTTAAATTCTAGTGGGAACACTGCCTGTGACAGCTCTTGTTTTTGTCTTGAGCATAATTGAAAAACTATTCAAGGTACTGAATTTTGTTTCCACTGCCCCAGGGTCAAGTGGATATTGATGACTTTTGTCTTCTTAGCAGTTTTTAGGGTCACTGATATGATCCTTGCACTTGTGGTCAAAACCATAAGGTGCATGTCTATTTTCTAGGTATTGAAGCAGAAAGAATTTGTAAAATGTGTTTTCATCCGTAGGTTTTGGAATGTCTGTGTCTGAATCTGAAAAGACTTCAAACAACACCCTAGTGTCTGGAAAGAAAGGAGGCAAGAGTGATGGGATCGCTGTTGCAGTTGATTTGATAGACAAACCTGCTGACGTGCCAAATCAACCAGAACCAGGTATGTACCTGCCCTAATATGTATTTATGGCATTGATAACCACTTGTGTTCAAGCCTCGCTCAAGGCGTTGAAATCCACATGTCAGGACGCCATCCAGCTGACTTATGAAAGGTCAGCACTTAGTGTATTCCTCTTTGCAAAGCTGGAAAGTAGTAGTATGTCCTGTAATTGCGTCAATGCAATATAATTCAAACAGAAATTCTCCAAGGCTCCCTAATCAAAGTGAATTGTTATTGAACCGGCAAGAATTTGTAATCGAATCGGTAAGTTGTTATTATGTCTCCCGTGTTTCAGGATAGAATATTTCACTTTCAGACAATACTGCAGTGTCTGGAATGATTGGAGGACAGGCTGATGGGGTCACTGCCAAGGTGGATTTGACAGGCAAAACAGCTGATATGGATGTGACCAATCCGCCCGAGTCAGGTATGTACCTGCTGTAACATGTTCAACTAAGTAGTACTAGTCTCATGCACATGACAGCTATAATGCCATTCTGATTCACCTTTAGGCACTTAAATTGAAAAAAATACATCTACCTATAGTAAACACATTGAATGCATGTTCATGCTAGGAATGCGTATAGTTGTCGCTTTGTCCGTCCATTCTTCACAACTCCGGAATATCATCAAAATGCAAGGTTCAATTAAGCCTTGTATGGCCTACATATTTTTGGAAGATTTCAGATTGGTGATTTCTGGATAATATATACTTTGTTACCGAAATGGTCATCTTCTTTCACGACTGTAACTTTTTAAGCTCACCTGTCACATTATTAGTGACAGAGTGAGCTATTGTGATCGCCTTTTGTCCGTCTTCCGGTCCACAATTTTGTTAACACTCTTTATGACCGTATCTTTGTGAAAATTAGTCATAATGCTTGACACCAGGTCAAATTATAGGAAAAGCTCGTTAACAGTCTAGAGGTCACATTTATGTCTGTATCTTCATGAAAGTTGGTCACAATGCTTGTCTCTATGACTTATATGTAAAGTTTGAATCTGGGTCCAGGGTTCGACACTAACTTTTTTTACCAGGGATCCCATAGGAATCCCCGAGATTTAATTCAGGGATTCCTCCTAAATGTCAGGGATTCCTCAGATCAAAATAGTAAAATACGGAGGCGAAGAATAACAAGGGAGTGCAGCAATTCGATTTCAAATTCTTTTTATTTTTGAGACTACATACAGGATATATTGTCTTGTTTCAGATGCAGAAAATACATGTAGTTTATGAGCCCTTTGGAAATAATGCTATTTAAAGTTTTAAGCGTTTCAAAGTGTTAACTTTACTAGTATATATATTTGGACTGCTAAGATAAATTAAAACATAATATATTTTTACATGAACATGGAAACAGAATAACATTAAGCTCAATGAACAAGAGTTCGATTTGAAAATAGCTATCTTGCTAAAACTTGCTTTCTCCCTGGAGTTGATAATTGTGAACCAGTTTCTGTATCTAATTAAATGAAGGTATAATGCAAGTGACTTGACAAGGTGGTTTGAATTTTTGAAGTTAAATAGGAACTGGGGAAACATTTTCCCAGATAGCCTAGGGTTCACTGAAATAGAGCCCACTTATCATATGTAGATCTTTAAAAAGTTACAGGTAATGATTAGGCTCCATATTCCAGAAAGGTCTGGTATGGATAACTGTCGATAATTATTTACTTTCATGTCATTTTTAAGGAAATTCTTAATTATGATCACTTTAAAAAAATATTTGATTTCATTTTACATTTTTGTGTTTAAAAGGAAAAATCCCATAGATTGTTGTAAATTAAATATTTTGATAATTTTTTACTTAAGCTAATAAAAATATCAAGAAACAGTTTTGTTTGCATTACAAGTACGGTACCTTTAAATGATTTCATTTTTAAAAATGATAAGTTGCTCCAAGTCCATGACAGGATGTGCAATATCCAAATTTATTGTTCTCAATTTTTACACTGAAATGTCCGATCCCTTTCCTCCCTGTGTATTGATTTTTTTTTAAGTTTTGACACCTGTCACATCAAAGGCACTCACCCCATACAGCAGTCATGTAGCTCACAACACTGATTGGCTCAAAGCACTGTCAGATGAAATATACGTCATTTGCTGTATATTTCGTCATTTGCTGTATGTTTCACGTAAGGATTTTTGTATTTCTTGTCGGTAAAAAATGCGTGACCTTGATTGACCGTAGACTTTAGTTAGACAATGTTTTTATAGCATTGAAGGCTGTGAGTTTCAAAAAGGATTTTAAACTTAAAAGTATGGATTCTTTTTATTTTGTTTATTAATTATACTTTTGCTGTAGTCTACTGTAGGGAGAAAAAATACACCAGTTATCTTTTTTTCACAATTTTGACGAAAATTTACAATGATCACAAGTGCCTAATTTTGGCAATAAAAAAAACAAACAACAAACACTGGATAACTGTAGCTACCGCCGGCATTGCCGATCAACACAAATTTGAAGTACACATCGCTTGTGTAATAATTATACGATAATTACATTTCTTTTTTTGAATTTTCACAACTCTATTTTATGAAGTCAATGCATGATATATAATTATACAAGAATGTTTCTTTAGTCAAAACAATTTTGTCATTATATATCGCAAATGAGTGGATAGCAGTCACTGCACAAAGAAAAACTAGCGTACATAATTCAAGAGTGTAGATTTTAACGGCGGGGTTTTTCTTTTCTTTCTTGAACCACTTTTCTTGAATATTTGTGATTCAACGACATTAATTCAGAAAATTTCAAAAATTTACACAGCAATTTTTCAGGGATCCCAACGAAATCCCCAGCTAGGAATCACAGGGATTCCTCCCGACTTTTTGGGATCCTCGGAATCCCGGGACCCCGTTAGTGTCGAACCCTGGGGTCAATATGCAGTCAAAAACTAGGTCACCAGGTGAAATCATAGGAAAAGCTTAAGAGGTCACATTTATGATTAATCTCTTGGTCAGAATGTTAATATTGATAATCTCTTGGTCAAATTGGAATCTGGGTCATGTGTAGTCAAAAAACTAGGTCATCAGGTCAAATTAAAGGAACAACGTGTTTACACTGTATAGGTCACATTTATGATTGTATCTTCATGAAACTTGGTCAGAATGTTTATATTGATGATCTTTAGGTCGATTTCGAATATGGGTCATGTGCAAAAAGAAACTAGGTCAGTAGGTCAAATCACTACCATAAGTCGATAACTGTGTAATATTTTTAAGTGATCTGCTTTTTGGACACAGAAGGAAAAGCTTGTTAACACCAAAGAGATTACATCTATGACTTATCTTTTTGACACTTGGTCAAAATGTTTATACTGGGCAAAATTTAACTTCTTTTTTTTGCAATGGTCAGTTAATGCAGACCTAGATCATTTAAATATACCAGTACCAGTTGCTTAAATTTGCAGCTTGCTATTTTGGCTCATCTTACACATAACAAATAGAATGCAAAACCACCTTCCAAATTTTGAGATGAGAATGAGTCAAATTTTCATAATTGTATATTGATGAAATACTGAAATCCTCAGTGACCCCCTGAAGTTGAGAATGGAGTCACAAACCATACCCTAAAATTGTGAAATCATACTGATATGGCAGGTGTTTAAGACATTTAGCATTTGAATAATTGAAATATACTATGTATTGTACAAGTTCCTGTTTTTCTTTAAATTGTAGGTTTGTCAAAGTTCTCAGCAGAGGTCATTGTGGCAAACAAAAGAACCTCAGGAAGTGAAAGTCCAGATGTGTAAGTTGATGCAAAGTTAGTTAACAAGTAAAATGGTTTTCCTGCGGGCAACGCTTTTAATGATATAAATATATTTCATTTAACTATTTTCAAAGGGGGGGGGGGGGGGTAAAGGATAAATAAACGTTTGTATCAGGAATATAGTTGACAGTAATCGATTAATATAGAAGAAGGTCTTTGGAAACTGGTGAACGTTGATGACTGGAGAAGGTCGAACATAAAACAATTATTTCTTTTTTAAGAAAATAATTAAATAGGCCTTCCATTTTATGAATAATTCTGAGCAAAAAAAAAAATAAAGTAAACACACAAGTATTTATTATGGCAGATGCCACTACGAATATTTTAATTTTGTAGATTTTCAGTATAAACAATTTATTGTTTGTAACATTTTGAGATACATATTAAAGAAACATTGATAATTATCAAACACATCATTCAAGTTTTTCCACCTTAAACAGTAACATGATTATAGAAAATTAAATATATCATGTAATAGTTTTTTGTTCTTAATTAGGTGTCTTTTTCCCTAGAGGATTATCCGTAACGTACCGGCAAACGGTATTTATCCAGGTTTCCGAAAAAGGTCAATTAACCAATCATGTAAGGTTTACAGATCACATGCTCCTCCATGTACCGAAAACAGGTCACGTGCTCCTCCATGCCTCAAAAGTTAAACGCGTATAATAATATATGATAATTAGACACATATGGCAAGATTGAGGTTTTGTGACTTTTCCCTATTCAAAGTAATTGTTTCCTTTCCTTATCAGGATCAAGGAAGAAATACGGGCACTGAGGAGGAAGATAAGGAAGCTTGAAGATAGGGTTGTGGCAATCGAGTCAGGTGGTTCCAGTCAGCAGGATAATCTTTTAAAATTGGTTTCCCACCTGGATGCTAATGATGTCCAGCAAGTTTTATCAACACTATGTAAAGCTATATTCTCAAATGTGGAGTTGATGAACTGCAGCAGAACAGGGAAGAGAACCAATAAATGTTCTGAGAGAGGGCCACGCCCACCTTTGGACATTGTTAAGCTTGAAAAGCTGGAGCATTTAGTGCGTGAAAAAACTAACATAAGCAAAGATTGCTTCATTAAAAAGTTCGAAAATATGCAGAAAACACTGCGCCAAAAAAAGAAGCAATAATATGTCATTGCTGATATATGAATTAAAAGAGCAATAGTCACATTCACATATTTTATTGTTTATATGGAGGCCTTGTCTGTGTCTCAGAAAGTCTATTTTTGGCCATAATTTACAAGTTAGACCTTGCAAACATGTGCAAAATCAGCTGCCTCTTGTGAGCGCTCATTTGGGGTGCTTTTTTGCAGAATTTTTATCACTGTCCTGAGTCTTCTTTGAGGTCGCTGCAAAATCTAAGGCAAATATGAATATTAGGCAATTTTTACTTCTTGAAATATTCTTAAAATGCAAATAATTTTGTGCATGAAATTTCAAGCATTTATCTTCATGCACTATTCACGAATAAAATATTCATGAACAGAAAATGAGACATTAAAATAATGAACAAAAAAATTCATGAACTCTTCATGAAGTTCATTTTCAAGAATTTTCGTCATATGTTCTTGAACTCTTCATGAACAAGAGTTGTTACTCATTTCATGAATAAATCCATGATAAAAACTACTTCATGAATACTTCATGAATTTGGCCTGTTTTGAACTCTATGAACTCTTCATGAACTTTTCATGAATGTGGACTGTGCATGAAACCATGAATAATTCATGCATATGTCTCTTCATGAATACTTCATGAACTGTCGTTTCATGAGTTTTTTATGAATAAGTCTCATTTTCTGTTCACTTCTTTCACTTGAAGTCTTCATGAAGTAACTTCATGAATTGTTCTAGAAAATGTTATAATCTTGTTGTACAAAAAAAAACAACTTATTACAGAAAAATGTATTTTATCTTAAGATGTGTAAGATATTCCAATCTTTGTTGGTTATTAGGTTATCTTGGTTTGAAGAAAGATCAGATACATTGCAAATATTTATCAGTTTTTAAAAAAGGTAAAAGAATTGGTATAAATAATTATAAAACTAATGCAAGATTGAATGTTGAAGTTATAACATTGATTTTCATAGATGACTTCCTATTTTCAATACGATTAATGTGGTTTTCTGGTTTTTGTTAAAATGCATTTATTCATGCATAATTTTAGCTGAATATTTTAAATCTTGTTATTTAATTTATAATATGTCTTGTATATTTGTTGTTAGTTTATGGTTGATTGAAATTTATGTATGTATGTAGGTGTATTTATGCATGCAGTTTGAAGAATTGATTGATATTAAATTGAGGTTGCAATAATTATTCAAAATGAAATTTACTATCAATCTCCCAATGCAGATGTTGTTTGTTTGAATGTTTATATAGTTTTAGAAATAATATAGAAGTTATATGGCTATTACACAGCAAGTGTTCTTGGATTTTTTTGGGCAAACTGTTCTTTTTTGAAAAATTTTTGGTGGCTTTGTTTGCATATTCTTCCTTCTGTCAATTTCTGTCTGTCTGTTTCCCTCATACATGCTATTTCTTACAGCACCTTTATTAATTGCTGTATATCTGATGATACCTTGCACAAACAGCTGAGCTTGTGTGGGATTTCATTTCAGCCCCCAAGATGTTTTGGTCCCAAACTACCCAAGACATTTTGGCTCCAGACATATCAGCCCTTTACCAAATCAGGCCTATTTTTTAAAAATTCAATTTCAAAATAAGTTTTAAAGTATAAATAAGTATAAAATTATATGAACATTTCCTATTTAATTTTATAAAAGGGCAGAAATATCTTTGGGGCCGAAACATCCTGTTTGCTTTCTCATAAATTGGGTCAACGCTACTAAATCTAAAAGTAGATTATTATACTATGACAATTAAGATGAGGCTATACTTTTAAGCACTTTAATCGGTACACAGTTATAAATTTGAAATGGACATGCCCATCTTGTAATTTGGACACAAACCATTCATCATTTTCATGGAAAATTTCAAAATATATACTGACTGAAGAGCGAACAGTGCAGGCACAACTGATCCTTGGTCTTGACTGTAGTCGCACTGGTACAATCTGTTGCCACCAACTGGCTTCCACTGGTCTGCACTGGTCACATGGGTAGAATCTGTTGCCACTTACATGCTAATCTAGTGGTCTGCATGAGTAGCATTGGTAGAATCTGTTGTCACCGATTAACAAGCTTCCAGCTAACATGTTGGAGTATTCCTCGATATCATAACAGCTAACTTCCGAACATCAATCACTGTAATCAGTGATTGATTGAAAAGTATCAGACATATTGTCTTATACCAGAGCTCCAGGAAAAAACATATTCCACCCACAGAACTAGAATAACAATGATATAGATTTCTCTCTATTCCTATTTAATACAATGGATTGGCTTACAAAATGGACACTCAGCTACTTGCACTTCCCTGTTTAACAAGATAAGCATATTTTAAGCAGTCTTGAGGATGATCTGCAGTGGGTCATTTCTATCCAAAACCTTGTTTGATTTTTTGAAATTTTCTCTTCAAACTGGTGTCTTGGGTTGGTAAAAAATATGTAAGGTATATAAAAAGGTAATAATTAACATAATATACATGCTTACGCAAGGTCACTTGATTAATGAATGTAATATAAAATAATTTACTATAATTGCGATGTTGTTTGGTTGAGAAAACACATAATGTTCACCTTGATAAACTAAACATATGATTTATAAACCCAATTATTACCAGTAATATAAAACTGTTTAAAGCTATGTACATTATCACATCAGGAGGAATTCAGGGTTTTTTCAATTAATGTTACCACATATACAATGTGAAATATTTTGGTAGGTAACCTTAAAATAAATTGTTTAAATTATTATGTGAAATTTTGAAGTGTGTATTATTATTGTTACCACATAATTATACAATGTGAAATTTTGGTAGGTAACCTTTAAATAAATTGTTTAAATTATTATGTGAAATTTTGAAGTGTGTATTATTATTGTTACCACATAATTATACAATGTGAAATTTTGGTAGGTAACCTTAAAATAAATTGTTTAAATTATTATGTGAAATTTTGAATTTTGGAGTGTGTATTATTATTTTGCTAAATTATGTAATAAATATTATATTCTTGTCAATATTGATTTATAATAATGATTTTCTGGTTTTGGACAGTATATACTCCTACTTAGTAAACTTTTACCAGGGAATTTTCATTTATTGTAGTAATTTGTGGCCTTGGATGCCTAACTATTCTGTTTATTTAGTTTATAGGAATTTGTTTTAGTTTGATTGTGTTGAAAGCTATAAGCTTATTGAAACACTTTGAATCTGTTGCTGGAACCAACAGTTTACAAATTGTTCAAGGAAACACTGGGTAGCCTTTGATGGGGTTTCAACACACATGTCCAACAATCATTAGATTACTTAAGTCTGGTGCGTTAACCACTATGCCATGCTGCCACTTATATTTATTTTAAGTATCATAGATATTTTGTATTTGAAAAAAGATACAGTACAGATACAGTACTTTATTATACAAAGTACCTCATAGACATAATAGGAAGTGTATTTACTTAGGTAGGATATCAAGTTTTAAATGTTTCTGACACAGCTAAATATTTTAACATTCAACATTCATTGTAGAAAAATAATATACATCATATAATACAGTAGTCAGCGTGACAATAACTTTGATTTCTATATTTCTCTGGCAGTTGATAGTTGATAGCAAAGGGAGACAAATCAATTTTGTTGTGTATTGAACTGAGAATGGGTTGTTTCCCTGACTGCTGAAAATTGTTTAAATGAAAAAAAAAAAAACATAAATTGTTTTATTTGTAGTTTAATACCAAAAATGTGTGTACGAAGAAACATGTACACAACAGTGTTTGAATCTAAAAGGTTGCCTTAAGTTTTTTTTGACGTGATAGGAATAAGAATAATTTTTCAAGGTTCCCTTTGATCTTGGTGAAACTACTGTAATAACTTGTGTGCAAAATTTTCTCACTCTGTTTTTCCATGATTATTAATCTTATTGTGAAAATGATCAAATCAGGATAAACATATGATTCTCAATTCTATTTCTAGTTTATTTCTAAATTATCTTAGAATATCTGCCCCAGCTGATCTATGTAAGAAATTCAAATTTTTCATTTATTAAAATATGCATGTTCCATCTAGAAATTGGAGCTGAATTTTTTTTTGAGGCAGCTTTCACATTCATTTTATAGTATTTCTGTTCCAGTAGTCCCAAAATAGTCATTATATCTACTTATAACTGTTTTTCAGCACTGATTAAATATATAGATAGATCACAATATGACCTTACTACATAAAAGAGGATGAATACACATGTATGTCATTTATAGATCAACCGTCTGTCAATCAAACTGTAATTGTTTATGTTTATTTGTCAGATGTTTATTGTCAGTTTCCCAAGATATGTGTGATCTTTACATCTGAAATGTGACAGACACACTTGCCAACATAGACACAGACAAAAAATTTAACTTTTACCTCATTTTCCACCCCGTACAAACAAAAATTGAACCTTTCCCTCCATGCCCACCCCGTACAAACAAAAATTGAACCTTTCCCTCCATGCCCACCCCATACAAACAAAAATTTAACCTTTACCTCATTTCCCACCACATACTAACAAAAAATTTCCCTTTACCTTCTTTCCCACCCCATACAAATAAAATTTTAACCTTTACCTCCTTCCCCACCCCATACAAACAGAAGTTGAACCTTTACCTCCATGCTCACCCCATACACACAAACATTTAAACTTGACCTTTTTCCCCATCCCATACAAACATAAAGTTAACAATTTTAATATCAAAGTACAGTGTATTGAAATTTAGCAGTCTTTAATATAAGAAACTAGCGTATTGTTGTCAATTTTTGGGGTGAAATTGGGCCTAAAATTTCTTAGTCCCTTGTCAATAGAGATGTTAGATACCAATGTGCTTGTAATTGCAACACAGTTTTCCTTTACCACTTTTCCACTAGTTCTGAAAAACATCTCTATTGCCGCTCTTTGAAATGTGGACTGACGTCACTCTATACCGTGGCAATGTCTTGTCAATAAAATGGCAAGTGCTCTGAAAGCTGATATATCACTCACGGATGGTGGTCATTTAACACTTGTCTGTTGAAAGTGACATCTTTAATTTACTATATTGTTTAGCTAAATGGACTGTTGCATTAGTGATATTGTGTCCAGTTTATTTGCAGTGGTGTAGGCTTCACTATTATTGATGAGATAATCTAAAACAGACATAATGATTAATTTTGTGAATGTAAACAAACACTTTTAATACTTGCAGTTAAAGCCTTTTCTTTGAAAATACACTAAATGCACTATCAATAAATCCTCTAAACATTTTAAGGAATGGTTAATTGGCTGACAATGTAGATACAAATCTACTTGGATAAATCCGGAGAATCAATAAGTGCAACAATATAATTTGATGCCATTTTAGAAAATCAGAACAGAAACTTATTAAAACATGGACAGATTATACATAATTTTAAATATTTTATTGGAAAAAAAACTTCATTTTTTTACATTTTATAAAATATATTAAAAATATCCATTTTGGGGTTACATGCATGAATTTATAGAGGATATTTGTTTAGTTCAGTGTAAGATCGGAATATATTTCACCGAGTGAGCACCAAAAGGTATATTTCACGAGTGGCACAGCTACAAGTGAAATATTAACTTTTGGTATTCACGAGGTTAAAATATATTTCGATCTTACAGTAAACTTAACAAATTTTCTTTTTATTATATGCAAAGAAATGCTTAACCTAATACTAAATGCAAAAGCGCACC